GATTGACAAACATCATATGTGTAATTCATGGCACAATTCAAACGGGATCGAAAGATACGTTTTCTCTCCCCATTGACTTCAATGCATAATTTTTCCGAAATAAGGTCCCATTACCCGGAAGTAAGTGGGCGTGACTTCGCCACTCTATAAATGAGGCCCCATGTTTTTTGTATAAAATTCACAAGTGGACCTTTAATAAAAAAGTTTGAGTACCCCTGGTCTAAGTTATCTCAGTGGGTCTCAAACAGTTTGGTCACGATTAATGTAAACAATTATTTCCGAAGCACACGTTTATATGATCATTATAGGTATACAAAAATAAGAGAATAAATGAAAAACAGGTATGAAATACTATATGACAGTAAAACAAGAATAAAGTTTAAAAGGGGAGTGATTTGTAAAATATCCATAGAAAAATAGAAAATCTGTTTACAGTTCTGTTTTATATGGGTGTTGAGAGATGTATCCATAGATCTCTTAATTTTGCTCTCAAATGGCACCAGATTGATGCTTTTAACTTCAATATTTAAAAAAAAATCTTTTTTAACCCCCCTAGAGGATATTAGGTCCACACACCACCTATAAAAACAGGTTAAGAGGCACATGAGAATCCACACAGGTGAGAGATGCTAGTTTGCATGACCTGCGGGAAAAGCTTCATTGACATGTCAACATTAAAAAGGCATATGAAAGTCCACACAGGAGAGAAATCGTTTACTTGTAAAGCATGTGGGAACAATTTCAGACGTAACAATGAATTATTGATCCACATGAGAAGGATTGAAAGACTAGAAAATGTAACTTTGAATTGAAAAGGTATTACATGGTTTACAACAACAAGTAGTTTTCCATATGTACTGTTGAGATCTTCATATTAGATTGAATAATTAAAACGAAAGTGAGTTATAATCAAATATAGTCAATTATATTCTTGGATAACCCACAATGAAAATGTTTTCATATGTTATGATTTTCTATATTTACAGTATAAACAAAGTGGTTTGTTAAATTGAGAGTGTAAGGCCTATAATGATTTATGGGTGTCACTGATAAGAGAGGAGGCAGTTTCTTCCCTCTTTCCTCATAGCAGTACACAGGGAGGGGGGCTCCTGACTTAAGGAGAAATACATTGAGGCCCCAAAAGGTGGTTATGTCATAGCCGAGAATAATATTTTGCAAGTCCTGCAGAGTAGGGGTCATGTCCTTTTTACACAAACATGGGAAGGTGTGTCTTATGCCATAGCCATAGAATATGTCTGGTCAAGTCCAGTTCTGTACATCGGAGGCTATGCCCAGTTTCCACAAATATGGGTATGGAGGAGGTGTCTAGGTTTTTCTATCCTGTTTTTTCAGCATAAAGACACTGGTGGAGAGGGAGAGAGAGAGAGAGAGAGAGAGAGAGGGGGGGGGGGGGTGGTTCCCCTGGTATACTCTCTCCCGGTAAAGCTCTTTCCCTGGAGAGCTGGGTTTTTGCTCTCGGTAAGGTTCTCTCAGACTTGGTGAATATCTCTCAAATGTCTTTGTTGAAAGTGGAGTGAATTTCTGAGTTGAATGAGTGGAATGAATTGATGTGTGTTGTGAAAGGTTAGGCCCGCCACCTGTGAGGATCTTCCTCCGAATTCCTGCGGAAAACAGGAATGTGTTTGTGAATGTTAGTACCCGCCATCTGTGTCGGAAATCAGATGTGTGTTTGTGAGTATTAGTACCCGCCACCTGTGAGGATCTTCCTCCGAATTCATGCGGAAAACACGAATGTGTTTTTGAACGTTAGTACCCGCCATCTGTGTCGGAAATCAGATGTGTGTTTGTGAGTATTAGTACCCGCCACCTGTGAGGATCTTCCTCCGAATTCATGCCGAAATCAGGAATGTGTTTTTGAATGTTAGTACCCGCCATCTGTGTCGGAATATAGGAATGGAATTGATGTGAATTGATTTGGTGAATGAAAGTTTGAATGTGCTTTTTATTATCACCGGTCATTTATGAGGAAATGCCTCTAAATTCTATCGGGAGATTTAAAAATCACAACTGAATTGGGCAGTTGAAGTTACAATTTAATGTAATAAATAAAAAAACTGTGAATTAAGGTTGCATATTAGAACATGATCACAGCATGATATGTTTAGTGTGATTATAATGTTGTAGAGAGAGAAGGTAAAAACCCTGTATACGTTTGGACCTATTTTTCTTCAAATAAACTGATCCCACCTTTTGGATTGGGACAACTTAAATGACATCTGTGCTCTCCTCTCCTGCTTCAAAGGTAAGATTGCACACTGCCACACTCACCCTTAGTATAGGGCCACACATCATTTACTGATATCAAAATCCTTCGGGATCGCTTAAACAGATTTAGAGGGTCGTCTGAATTGAAACAGCAGTTAATTGAACCTGGTTCTTCAGGAGTTAATAGAGGTGAGATCTTGCTGACGTTGGTGGATCTGAGCCAAGCAGTAAACTTACATAGACTCAATAACTTCTGTTAGGTTAATTAGTAGGTCTGAGTAATTTCCCGGAATAAATTATCAGTCCCTCCCGACTCTACAGTACTCACACAATTAACAAGGTACATAAATGCAGCACTTTTTTTAATCTGGATGAATGTTCACCAGGCAGCTACCTCTGGGACTGAGCAATGCAACATATGTAACATGTTTAATACTGCCATTAACTTGCAAATATAACTTTTATGATTGCAATATGTCATTGTGTTTTGTATTTTGCAGTGACATTAAATTGTTTTATTGGTTGCTATTTTGGTTTTGAGGTGACACTTGCTGAAATTGGAAATAATAATCTACATGGTGCTTAAGGCGGTAATAATGAATAGTAATGATGCACTTAATGCTGTGTGATCTAATCTATGTATCTAACTATAAAGCTTTGTTTCGTCATCCTGTAAAAATACCAGATTCACCCTAAACGCTAAAGATATAAGCAAATGAGGGTCATCCAGGCTGCTGGTATGACTGACATAATAAGTAAGTGGATGTAAATTGTAACAAACAGTAGGTGTTTAAATGATGGCCACATGGGCTTGAGCTTAAGTTATTATATTATTTAAAAACGTTGATTAGTTTGATCACCGGAGTTGCCTCATACTGAACTTTGGTAACAGTAATAAGAGATTGCATTTGAATCACAAGTAAGATCTTAAACAATTTCAAATAAAAAACGAAATGGTTCTCAGATGGCATCCTATTGCTTTCCTTTCATGCAACATAAAGTTCTACTTTTCATTTTACAGGAGAATACTTTCCAAGCCGGTACATTCATTTGACGGCTATCAGTTAAATGAAAAACGTCTATCTATGTTTCTGATTAAGGTTTTCCATAAAAAAGTGTTCACACATTACTATGTAAAGTCCTTCCACCCTTGTAATGTGTTTTTTATTTTTATTTAAAACATTGTATTTGCAATGGCTTAAAAAATATGAATCATGTTAATGAAAGCTATTAAATAGAGCCTTCTCATTTCCTTTATTATAATGAATGTTGAAATAGCACAGCAAGGTTACAATGGCCTCAGTAAAATTCACATGTTAAATTTGCACAGATTCACTGCCACTAACCAACATCTCAGTTATAATATTAAAATCTGAATCTGACAGAAAGGGCCCAGATTCATCCCAACCAAAGTGTCCACTACCTTTCTCACAACTCTCACAGAGTCGAAAGCCATGCAAGAGCAATTCACAAGAAGACCAGTACTGATCAGGAACCAGTGAACAAATGTTTAAAATGGGGAGTTTCATGATTTCTTAAAGTAAAAAAATCGACACAAGGTCCCACACCGGTTTACAGAGGTGGGAGGAGTACTCATCGTGTACTTCAGTAAAAGTAGAAGTACAAGAGTGTAGGAATATTCTGTTACAAGTTAAAGTCCTGCATTCAAAGGTTACTCAAGTAAAAGTACAAAAGTAAAAGCACTTATTATGCAGATTTCCCCTTACAGAATAATATATATTACATATTTTAATAATAGTTATTGATGCATTAAAGTGTTAGTCAAAGCTGGTAAAGGTGCAGCTAGTTTTAATCACTTTGTTTGCTTCAGGGTAGATTGTGAATTTACTCCAGGTGTTACTAAAGTCTTATTTAAGTGTTGATTATATTTCACATCATTGATCCAAGTCTGTAAAATAACTAAAGGTACAAAATAAATGCAGTGGAGTAAAAGTATACGATTAGTCTCTGAATTGTAGTGGAGTAGAAGTACAAACTAGCAAATAATGGAAATACTCAAGTAAAGAACAAGTATCTAAAAATGTTACAGTACTTGAGTAAATATACTTTACACCTCTGCCGGGGAAAAGCATTTCAAATTCAAAGATTCAAAATTGAAAGGCTTTATTTTCATATGCATAGTAGCTACAGTGTAGAAAATGGCATTGAAAATCTGAAGTCCCAAGCTCCCCCAACATTGTAACATAGTTATATAGGATATAACACAATAAAACAGATACAAAAAAATACAAATAATAAATACAAAAAGTGCAAGACAAAACAGTAGAATATAGTAGAATAAGGTTATGTTGCAAGACCAATGTGCAAGTAATGCCGATCAAGTAATCTATATATACATGTCAGAACAATAAATAAATACAATAAACTAAATAATGCAGAGAGTGTTGTAATTGACTAAGTACATTTTGGAGTCTATATACATGTAAATAGAATAAGATATACAAGAACAGAATGTTAAATTAAATATACAGTCAAATACAATGAAATACTGTTTATTGCAGGAATAACTGCAAATGTGACACTTGTGAGAAAAGGTTCACCCAAAAGTCAAACAAAGGTGATTCATGCAACTCACTGAACAAGTGTTGGGGAACATGTTGTTTATGTTATTGTTTTCCTTATTAGTTATTGTGGGAGATTGGGACAATGTATTTTTGAATGTCAATCCAGTAGGTGGCGGTAATGTAACTTTATCAGTGCAGAACGCCTCCCTAAACCTACGAAGAAGAACATACCACCGGAAATTGTGTAGTTCATGCCAACGAGAAAAATAAAAGTTGGTTTGGCTTATTTTGTCTCTTCATACATCCATATATTTCACACAGTAGAAATGGCTGCAGTTGAGAAACTGAGAAGTGTTATCAACGAGCGACTAGCTGCAGCTGCCGATGAAATATTGGAAGTTTTTGCTCAAGCTTTATCAGCATACGAGGAGGAGATTTGTCGTCAGCGCAGATTATTGGATACCGTCTTGAAGCCTCAGATAAAGCTGCACAAAACAGGTGTGTAACAAACAATGAAATACTTTATTATTTCCTATCAAGTACTTACACATTATCAAGCAATCTGAATGGGATTCATTATGGTTGAAGCCTCTCGTTAGCTATATTTTGTGAGGGTGTACTCTTCAAATGTATTATTCTTCTAGTATATTTAAGCAATAGCTCACGCGTCGGGCCGAACCACGCCCCTAAGCTGTGATATAGAGCATAATATCACGGCCTGAAGTGAGCTATTGCTTTTATAACACTACCAAGTGTGGCAATATGAAAGAAAAATACACACTCTAATTTAAATAGTTTTTATTAATAAATAATGATGTTCAAAATAAAATAGTCCCTCCGTTGCCTTCTGCACAAAACATAGTGCTAGGTGGTTGCTATACAACAACACTAATGCTGCGTTCACACCGGACGCGATGCGATGTTTGGGGGCGGCGCGATTACATGTAAAGTCAATGCAGAGACGCGGACAGACGCGAATTCGCTCCGACGGCGCGCATGAAGCGGTGGACGCGGCGCGAATCACGCGATTGAGGCGATTGAACGGTGCCGCGTTAAACGCGAGAGTTCAATTTTTTCAACTCGAGCGTCAAATTCACGTGACGCGTTCTCGCGGAAGCCAATCAGCGGTGAGGATCTCAGCCGCCGTCACTGACGTTCAACCACACAACATCAGCCGTTAGCTGTTAGCAGTTAGCACACAGAGCTCACAGCTCCTCATATCCGTTCAGAAACTGGACAAAAGTTAAACAAGTACAAACCACAGACTGTCTGTGCCATGGTGAATACAGTCGCTGCTTATTTATGTCTGTAGGCCGTTGTTATGAGTGTGGAATGAGCATATACAACGTTAGCTTAGCCTGGTCGACCCGATCTTCATTCAGAAAACAAGCATTTTAAAAGGTGTTTTGCCTGCCGTCTTGTCTGCAGACTTGTCAAAGCATTAATTCATGGTTGTTACTAACCGGTATCAGTATGTTGTTACTTCGGCATCATTAGAAACGTGTATTACAATTTAATCACGGTAAAATATGTTCATTTGTTGTAGTTGTAGCTCCCGAGCCAGCGCGTCTTGTTTGAATGATGCGAGTAAACACAGCTGGCAGCCGCGGTGAAACTCCAGCGTTTAGAGCGATGCGATAGAAGCGATTAGAGCGAAGCGAATATTCGCATCGCGTCCGGTGTGAACGCAGCATAAAGCTGCGTTCACACCGGACGCGATGCGATGTTTGGGGGCGGCGCGATTACATGTAAAGTCAATGCAGAGACGCGGACAGACGCGAATTCGCTCCGACGGCGCGCATGAAGCGGTGGATGCGGCGCGAATCACGCGATTGAGGCGATTGAAGGGGGCCGCGTTAAACGCGAGAGTTCAATTTTTTCAACTCGAGCGTCAAATTCACGTGACGCGTTCTCGCGGAACCCAATCAGCGGTGAGGATCTCAGCCGCCGTCACAGCCGTTAGCTGTTAGCAGTTAGCACACAGAGCTCACAGCTCCTCATATCTGTTCAGAAACTGGACAAAAGTTAAACAAGTACAAACCACAGACTGTCTGTGCCATGGCGAATACAGTCGCTGCTTTATTTATGTCTGTAGGCCGTTGTTATGAGTGTGGAATGAGCATATACAACGTTAGCTTAGCCTGGTCGACCCGATCTTCATTCAGAAAACAAGCATTTTAAAAGGTGTTTTGCCTGCCGTCTTGTCTGCAGACTTGTCAAAGCATTAATTCATGGTTGTTACTAACCGGTATCAGTATGTTGTTACTTCGGCATAATTTAGAAACGTGTATTACAATTTAATCACGGTAAAATATGTTCATTTGTTGTAGTTGTAGCTCCCGAGCCAGCGCGTCTTGTTTGAATGATGCGAGTAAACACAGCTGGCAGCCGCGGTGAAACTCCAGCGTTTAGAGCGATGCGATAGGAGCGATTAGAGCGAAGCGAATATTCGCATCGCGTCCGGTGTGAACGCAGCATTATGCTGAGATCCTCACCGCTGATTGGCTTCCGCGAGAACGCGTCACGTGAATTTGACGCTCGAGTTGAAAAAATTGAACTCTCGCGTTTAACGCGGCACCGTTCAATCGCCTCAATCGCGTGATTCGCGCCGCGTCCACCGCTTCATGCGCGCCGTCGGAGCGAATTCGCGTCTGTCCGCGTCTCTGCATTGACTTTACATGTAATCGCGCCGCCCCCAAACATCGCATCGCGTCCGGTGTGAACGCAGCATAACAGCAAGCGAACATATTAGACAGAGAGCGTTGATCGGTTATTTGGCTATTTATTTACATTCATTTGTATGTTGCCATTTATTGTGCACCCACTGAAAAACTGACAGCATCAGTAGAATGGCTTACGTGGTTACTTGTATAAGTTGAGGTTGCAAGGCTGTTGCTTGGCGTGGCGAGAATATTGCTCCACTGTCTCCGGTCCCCGAGATTCGGCTTCCAGTAGCTCTGGAGATAGGCACTGCTCAATCCACTCCTCCATAGTTAGGCCACCCCGGAGGTCGAAGTTAAGTAAGGGATAATGTGCAGCGAGGCGGTCATTATGGGTAAAAGAATACCCGACAGGCAGATCAAAAATAGTCCGTTGTTATTGTTTGAACTATGTAGCAACGGTAGGAACTGCTTCGATAGCGTTTTTGCGGACCTTTTTGATTCATTATGTCAAACCTTGGAAAGTATCTAGATATCCCTTCCCTAATGCCAAAGGAACTGCACACTGAATATGTTATGCCGTTTGATGTCTATGTCTGGACCGCTGCGTTAAAAGGAGGGTTTCTGCCCCGTTAAGGCCCTGACACACCAGGCCGTATTCGGCCGTCTTCGGTTGTCTGGCGACAACGCGTTCCTTGTCGCCCAAAGTCAATTTGGTGTGTCCCGAACCCTCGGCCGTGACACGCCTTATTTGGCCTTTCACGGTCGACACCCGGCCGATTCAACATCTTCAGAGCAATCTGACTATTATAACATTAGCGTTAAGAAAGCTTACTTAAATATCTGCCACGACATAAGTAACCGGATCAGAGTAACATTAAGTACAGTCCGCGGCACTGTGAGTGCAGACGTAGATGTGTCCCATCATCATTCATATCATATCACATCATAATGTATCATATATTTCCTTATTTGAGTCAGCTTCTTGAGCCGTATCTGGCCGTGCAACACTCACAGTGTCACATACTGTATGCAGAAGTATTAAGTTGACACATTAAGTTGACGAAACACTCGAGTCAAATTCTCCTAATTAAAGTCAGCTCCACTCGTGTCTTGGACAGGGCAGTGATATCATAAACCTGTTAATGTACGCATTCAAACACTTTTTCTTTTACCAGCTGTATTCACCTTGCAGGTGCAGCTATGTGGCTTTTATCCTGGATAAAGTGTTTAAGTCATGGATGTTTAAAGTTTAACTTCTTCATATTTGACTAATATTAAAGTTCACTTTTCATTCAGGAAGTATGACGCTGCGCTGTCAGTACGCTTCTCCGTGTTTGAGATTGGTCGAATGCTCCAAATACCACCCCTTTCATGTGGACGCGCACCTAACTAGATAGGACACGGCGGCTTGAGCGATCCACTTGATATCCAGCGTCGTAGTACAGTTTAGCGCCAGCGGGTATGTTTTGGCTTAGGCCAACCGGCTAACTCCAACATATCCAGGTTAGGTTGAACCAGCTTCGTAGTACAGGCCTCAGTTAAGACATTACATGTTGAATTGATTGCTAAATATTGCATCCTATTGTGATGATAGAACCACATTCTGTTTATTAATTCATGATCAGATCTCAAACAACAAACACACAGCACAGCGGTTAAAATACACATTGTTAAAACATATTATATATTTTTTTAAAGTGGGTGGCCGCATGCTTTTTAAATAAACTCTTTTCATGCTTTATGCATTTCTGTAGTCTTGTTTGTTGTTGTCTTGATATTGTGATATTGATTTTAACACCATTGCCCAGCATTGAATGCAATTTGCTTCCCTAACACCACACTGAGGCCCAATCCCAAACCGCCCCCTACACCCTACCCCTACACACTACCCCTCCGTTTGCGCGTTCGCGCGGAGGGTCCGCCACATTAAGTGCTGTTCCAAACCAACGAGTGTGGAGCGGTGTGGAGGGGGAGTGGGCTATCAAGCCCTCAAACAGCGAGTCTGCAGCGGTGCTGACTTGAGACCGGTCTCTACCTGACTGGTCTCAACGCTGTGTGTGTCCGTCAGGAAACACGCTGTTAAAAAGTAGTTCCAGCAAACATCCACTGATAAACTGCGATGTTAACAACCTCATGATAACCTCATATTTTTTTAATTTAGGATCGTACCTGTGGTTAGTCTAGAAAAAGGTAAATGTGTGCATTTTATTATAAAGTTGTGTATATTTTAGGGCTGTCAAGTTAACGCGTTAATAACGCGTTAACGCAAAAAAAAATTAACGCCACTAATTATTTTAACGCGATTAACGCATGTGTATTTTTTGTCCTCGGCCGCCGTAGTTTCAGAGCGCATCGAGTGTAAAATACCATCAACAAGCTGATGCTGACAGCCCCGCTCCTGCCGCCCGCTTGTGGCAGACCACACTTCCACGCTCACTGGCAGGCCCGGACTGGCCATCGGGAGGACCGGGAGGGAGTGTGTATGTGTGGAGCGACTCGCGCGAGCGAGGCACACCTACGTGTTGTTGTTAGCATCTGGTGCTAGCTAGCTGCGCTAACGGATATAAGGAGCTGTTTCAATGACATTTCGCCGACAACTGCGCCGAGCACTTGACTTTATGCAGGTAGCCAGACAGTGGGACATTGTACGAAAAGTCAGCGCAACATTATTGCAGCGTCCAGGCAGCTCCCATTCGAGCATATATGCCTTGAGCTGCACATAGCTCAACGATCCATCACAGTGTCTCCACACACACACACACACACACACACACACACACACACACACACACACACACACACACACACACACACACACCACACACACACACACACACACACACAGTATTATTGTATGAGAGAGGTTCCAGGTTGAATTGAGGCGAATATTTGTAATGTTCAGGTTGTTGTGTTTAATATTCATGAGAATATTGTCATTGTTCAAATGATAATAACAAACATATAAAGCATATTTGTCCACTCATATGTTGATAAGAGTATTAAAAACTTGAAAGATATCCCTCTAAGGTACATTTAGAACAGATAAAAAATGTGCGATTAATTTGCGATTAATCGCGATTAACTATGGACTATCATGCGATTAAATATTTTAATCGACTGACAGCCCTAGTATATTTACAGACTGTTGCAAAAACTAAGAAGCTTATAAACATCAGGTTTAAAACTAAAAGAGCTTTACAAAAAAGTAACACAATTAAAGATGTTTGGAGTTTTATTTGAGTTATTAATTTACATTTTTTGTCTAAGAGATGCTGATTTGAAACCGTTGTTACATACAGTTACGGCATTTCCTGTTTTCTGCCGGAGAGAGGGGAGGCCGTCCCAAAGCTTGCTGCTGTATTTACTCCCTCCATCTGACAGCCTCTCGTTGAGCTGCGAGTGTGGCTACAGACGGAGTTCACTCCGTCACGGAGGGGTAGGGTCGAGGGAGTGGTTTGGGATTGGGCCTAACAGTACATTGTTTATTTTCTGTCCCTCCAGAGCTCCCTCAGCAACATGTCTGTAATGAGGATGAGGTTCTCACTGACCAGCAGCTCTATAGTCAGGAAAGGAACTCCAGTCTGGACCAAGAGGACCCAGAGCCTCCACAGATTAAAGAGGAACAGGAGGAACTTTGCACCAGTCAGGAGGAAGAGCAGCTTGAACTAAAGCAGGAGACTGATGTCTTCATGGTGACTCTTACTGATGAGGAAAGTGTGCACAGCAGACGGACTTGTGCAAAAGAGTCTGTAGGCAACATGCCAGTTATAAGCGTTGTGGTATCAGAAGCACAAAGTCATCTGCAGCTCATCTCTCACAATTCTGATGACTCAGGGTTAACAAGAACTGCAGATCCAGAAATAAACAAAAGACATCACAAAACCAAAAGGAACAATGTAAACAACGCTAACTTGTCAGACATGCAACGTAATACTTGCACAGTGAAAAATAATTTAAAATGTCAAACTTGTGGGAAAGATTTTAAGTACATGTCAGTATTACGAAGACACATGACCACCCACACGGATGAGAAGCCATGTGTTTGCGTGACCTGCGAGAAAAGCTTCAATGAGATGTCAAAATTAAAAAGGCATATGAAATTCCACACAGCTGAGAAGAAATATACTTGCAAAACATGTGGGAAAAAATTCAAATTGAACTGTGACTTTAAGAGACACATGAGAGTCCACACGGGTGAGAAACCGTATGTTTGCGTGACCTGCGGGAAAAGCTTCAATGAGACGTCAAAATTAAGAAGGCATATGAGAGTCCACACAGGTGAGAAACCGTTTACTTGTAAAGCATGTGGGAACAATTTCGGACATAACCATGGATTATTGATCCACATGAGAAGGATTCACGCTGCCAAGAAGGCATAACTTTGAATTGAAAAGGTATTACATGGTTTACACCAACAAGTAGATTTCCATATGTACCCACACAAGTGACAAGGCACATAAATGCAGCACTTTTTTCATCTGGATGAATGTTCACCAGGCAGCTACCTCTGGGACTGAGCAATGCAACCTATGCTGAATATTTAAAAAACTGCAATTAAGTTGCAAATAGATTTCTTTATGTTTTCAACATGTCATTTTGTTTTCTATATTTATGTATTTTGTAGTGGAATCAAATAGTTTTTTTTGTTATTTTGGTTTCAAGGTGACATTCAAGCTGAAGTTGGAAATAATCTACATTGTGCTTTAATGAATAGAAATGATCGGTGCACTTAATGCTGTGTGATCTAATGTATGTATCTAACAATAAAGCTTTGTTTGGTGATGATGTAAGAATACCAGATTCACCCTAAACGCTAAAGATATAAGCAAATGAGGGTCATCCAGGCAGCTGGTATGACTGACATAATAAGTAAGTGGATGTAAGTTGTTACAAACAGTAGATGTTTAAATGATGTCCACATGGGCTTGAGCTTAAGTTATTATATTATTTAAAAACGTTGATTAGTTTGATCACCAGAGTTGCCTCATATTGAACTTTGGTAATACTAATAAGAGATTGCATTTGAATCACAAGTAAGATGTTGAACTAAAAACTAAATGGTTCTCAGATGGCATCTTATTGCTTTCCTTTCATGCAACATCAAGTTCTACTTTTCATTTTACAGGAGAATACTTTCCAAGCCGGTACATTCATTTGACGGCTATAAATTAAATGAAAAACGTCTATCAATTTTTCTGATTAAGGTTTTCCATGAAAAAGTGTTCACACATTACTATGTAAAGTCGTTCCACCCTTGTACTGTGTTTTTTATTTAATTTAAAACATTGTATTTGCAATGGCTTAAAAAATATGAATCATGTTAATGAAAGCTATTAAATAGAGCCTTCTCATTTCCTTTATTATAATGAATGTTGAAATAGCACAGCAAGGTTACAATGGCCTCAGTAAAATTCACATGTTAAATTTGCACAGATTCACTGCCACTAACCAACATCTCAGTTATAATATTAAAATCTGAATCTGACAGAAAGGGCCCAGATTCATCCCAACCAAAGTGTCCACTACCTTTCTCACAACTCTCACAGAGTCGAAAGCCATGCAAGAGCAATTCACAAGAAGACCCGTACTGATCAGGAACCAGAGAGCAAATGTTTAAAATGAGGAGTTTCATGATTTCTTAAAGTAAAAAAATCTACACAAGGTCCCACACCGGTTTACAGAGTTGGGAGGAGTACTCATCGTGTACTTCAGTAAAAGTAGAATTACAAGAGTCTAGGAATATTCTGTTACAAGTTAAAGTCCTGCATTCAAAGGTTACTCAAGTAAAAGTACAAAAGTAAAAGCACTTATTATGCAGATTTCCCCTTACAGAATAATATATATTATATATTTTAATAATAGTTATTGATGCATTAAAGTGTTTATCAAAGCTGGTAAAGGTGCAGCTAGTTTTAATCACTTTGTTTGCTGCAGGGTAGATTGTGAATTTACTCCAGGTGTAACTAAAGTCTTATTTAAGTGTTGTGTATATATAGATTACTTGATCGGCATTACTTGCACATTGGTCTTGCAACATAAACTTCTTCTACTCTTTTCTACTGTTTCGTCTTGCACTATATTTATTTTGTATTTGTATTTTTTGTATCTGTTTTATTGTGTTATGTCTTATATAACTATGTTACAATGTTGGGGGAGCTTGGGACTTCAGATTTTCAATGCCATTTTCTACACTGTAGCTACTGTGCATATGAAAATAAAGCCTTTCAATTTTGAATCTTTGAATTTGAAATGCAGAGGAGTAAAGTATATTTACTCAAGTACTGTAACATTTTTAGATACTTGTTCTTTACTTGAGTATTTCCATTATTTGCTAGTTTGTACTTCTACTCCACTATAATTCAGAGACTAATCGTATACTTTTACTCCACTGCATTTATTTTGTACCTTTAGTTATTTTACAGACTTGGATTAATGATGAGAAATATAATCATGTCAGAACAATAAATAAATACAATAAACTAAATAATGCAGAGAGTGTTGTAAGTGACTAAGTACATTTAGGAGTCTATATACATATAAATAGAATAAATATACAGTCAAATACAATGAAAAACTGTTTATTGTAGTAATAACTGCAAATGTGACACTTGTGAGAAAAGGTTCACCCAAAAGTCCAACAAAAGTGATTCATGCAACTCACTGAACAAGTGTTGGGGAACATGTTGTTTATGTTATTGTTTCCCTTATTAGTTATTGTGGGAGATTTGGACAATGTATTTTTGAATGTTCAAACAAAACTATTCAAAAAGAGGTATAAAGACACAATTCTCACAAGGTACATGATAGATGAAACTGCTAAACCATAACGGTTTATATTCTTGTTTTGTATTTTATTTATGAATTTGTGTTTGTATGAATTTGTGTATGTATATATATAAATATATAGAGACCATTGTCCTAACTTGCCTGTATATATTATATGAATGATTATATAAATTATTCAAGATTATAAGTATTCGTTTATATTGTATGTTAACATATATTAAGATGTAAAAAAAAACGAATAAATAAAAAAGGGAGAAGGGGTCGGATTAAATAAGTGTAAACTTCTTCCGACCCCTTTTCGGACGTGTAATTAGCTAAAGCTTTGTTGTTTATTGTTTATTGATATCAGACAATGATACTACAGATCATTCAATTATTAATTAAATGTTTCGTTTTGTTATTGCATTCATTTGTATAGTACTGTATCATGTCTGTATCACCTTTTGTTTCATTTGTATTTTCTTTGGTTTTACACGCTCGAAAAAAAAATAAAAAAATAAAAAATAAATAAATGTCAACCCAGTAGCAGCGCCATATAGATAGAAGAGTTACGACAGCGGAAGTCCAAAATGCTTGATCGTCACGTGGTTCAGGGAGAGTCAATAGTTCCCCGGAAGTTCGTGGCGGGACATATGAATGCATGATTACCGGAGATAGAACTACGATTTTTGGTAATAAGTAGTGAATAAAGGTCTTGATTTGCAATATTTATACAACATACATGTATGTATTTACATCAATATGTTTTAAAAAATAAATAGAATCTGCTAATATTTATGGATAATATTAGGAATAGTGTGAACAGCTAGTTTACTTGTTAACATATACATGTTAGGCTGTTGCCTTGGTTAAAGAGCCTGTTGCTGTTGTGTATTGCTTTGAATTATTTAAAACAAATATTATCTTCTTAAACAGGTATGGTAGTCAGGAGCATCACTTCCTAATGTTTATTGATATATTTAGAGGGAGGGGATGGCAAGGAATGCTTCAAAATTTAGATTAGATTAATTTCTACCATTTTTTTTAATTCATGGTGGTTTCAGTAATCCCATGGTACTTGAGGACATAAGTAATCTAAATGACTAATGTCATCTTTATGACTTTCAGAAAGGACAGGAGACCAACAGATGACTATCAATGGACTAGCAGCAACACGATTATGACGTTAAAAGTGTTGTTTTAGGAACATCCATTGTAAATACATGGAATTCAATAAACATTGAATAGCATGTCATGCAGTTTGTCTGTGCCTTTTCCTCCGTGTTGTCCTGGCATATCGTCTCCACCATGGTTTGCTGTGCTGCCTGGGGATGCTCCAATCGCTCAGAGAAAGGAGTAAGAATCAGAATGTACGGCTTCCCCACTGACACAGAGAGGAGGAAAAAATGGCTAGCTCAAGTCAGCAGGAGCAATTTAACAATCAAAACAGACAGCCGCAACAAAATATGTGAGGTAATCATATTCAAACACTGCATTTGCACTTTTTCCACAAAACGAAGACCACACCATTGGGAAGCTTAATGTTTGGTTTAATACAAATAACAGGGAAAGGCTTGAAAAACTCTGAGAGTTGAGACTCAGGGTGCAGGGTGAGGGTCTCAGTGCAGGTATTCAGGCTCTATTGAATCCCCCTCTGGTTCTTGTGCTGAAAGAGGGAGAAACAGACAGGAGAAAGGGTTATACACACCTATATAGCACACCTATTGGATGGGAAATTGCCTTGGGGAGATAAGGTGTGGTCTTTGTTTCCAACTGAAGTTATGGAACTTTATTATTTGTGAGTTTAACAAAGTATGACAAATGGCATCAGTAATGGATGTGATATGAATTTGTATAAAGTTGTCACATTCTTGGTCGTATTTTACGTATAGTATGTAATGAGTGTATACATGTCCAGTAAGTCCTCCACCTGTAACATCACTGCCCCTCCACCTGCCATACAGTAGGTTACTAATATACACTAACAAGATTACTTATATAATACAGTGATAGAATACATGTTTAGTATGCTTACTTATATACAACAGTAGTATTACATTTACCTTGTGTTTTCACTCTCACTTTGCCATCATTTCAAAATCAGCTGTGCTGCAACATAATACAGACAGGTAATAATCAACAGAATACACTAAAAACACTCACCCATAAATTACGTTTTTGTTTACTGTTTGGAAGTCTCAAATATGCACTCTAAATTCATATCAATAGCGATGTATCACACAAATAGCTCTCTTCCTTATTATTGTGTAACGTTAACTTTATTATACTAGCTTGTAGGTCTACTCCAAAATGGAGATCGTAATTTCTCCACCTTACAATCACACGTGCCCCAATGTTATATTTAACTAATATTATATTCCTCCACCCCACAAAAAAATCACGTTTAGAAGCCCTTTTTCTCTAATTCCACAACGTTGGATGAAATAACATTAGGAGAACGGATTAATAGGCTGTTCATGGTTAACGTGTGTTGCTAACTTTATCCGGTATCCTAGCCTAATCTGTTATCTGTAAACGTTCCTTAAATCTACTGATTTAGGGATAATCCACTAACATCCTTTAATACACATGTTCATTTGACTCAGATGTGCTGATAATATCTGCAATATAAATCTTTAAACGTCTTCTTACCTTTAAAAGTCCATCACGAACGGTCTATTATGCTGCAACTCTACTGTGTTGCTGGTCGCAAAAGTTCCCCGGAAGTCAGCGGCAAGCTAACTTCCGGGGAACTATTGACGGCTGCACGATCCGCCATTGCTGTAAAAAAAACTGGTCCATTGGAGTGAACGGAGATGTCGTAACTCTTCTATTATACGGCTCTGCCCAGTAGGTACCAGTAATGTAACTTTATCAGTGCAGAACGACTCCCTAAACCAACGAAGAAGAACATTCCACCGGAAGTTGTGTAGTTCATGCCAACGAGAAAAATAAAAGTTGGTTTGGCGTATTTTGTCTCTTCATACATCCGTATATTTCACACAGTAGAAATGGCTGCAGTTGAGAAACTGAGAAGTGTTATCAACGAGCAACTAGCTGCAGCTGCCGATGAAATATTGGAAGTTTTTGCTCAAGCTTTATCAGCATACGAGGAGGAGATTTGTCGTCAGCGCAGATTATTGGATACCGTCTTGAAGCCTCAGATAAAGCTGCACAGAACAGGTGTGTAACAAACAATGAAATACTTTATTATTTCCTATCAAGTACTTACACATTATCAAGCAATCTGAATGGGATTCATTATGGTTGAAACCTCTCGTTAGCTATATTTTGTGAGGGTGTACTCTTCAAATGTATTATTCTTCTAGTATATTTACCCATATTATATAATATTGAGGAGGGACTTATTCTTCCATTAAGTATTTCCATGTTCTGCTCATTTCTGTATGAGATATCTAATTATTATATATATATTCAAGAAATCAGCTGTAAATAAACAATCAAATAGAATAGAAGGACTACTTGACCAGTTAAGACATTACATGTTGAATTGATTGCTAAATATTGCATCCTATTGTGTTGATAGAACCACATTCTGTTTATTAATTCATGATCAGATCTCAAACAACAAACACACAGCACAGCGGTTAAAATACACATTGTTAAAACATATTATATATTTTTTTTAAGTGGGTGGCCGCATGCTTTTTAAATAAACTCTTTTCATGCTTTATGAATTTCTGTAGTCTTGTTTGTTGTTGTCTTGATATTGTGATATTGATCTTAACACCATTGCCCAGCATTGAATGCAATTTGCTTCCCTAACACCACACTAACAGTACTTTGTTTATTTTCTGTCCCTCCAGAGCTCCCTCAGCAACATGTCTGTAATGAGGATGAGGTTCTCAGTGACCAGCAGCTCTGTAGTCAGGAAAGGAACTCCAGTCTGGACCAAGAGGACCCAGAGCCTCCACAGATTAAAGAGGAACAGGAGGAACTTTGCACCAGTCAGGAGGAAGAGCAGCTTGAACTAAAGCAGGAGACAGATGTCTTCATGGTGACTCTTACTGATGAGGAAAGTGTGCACAGCGGACGGACCTGTGCAAAAGAGTCTGTAGGCAAGCCCCAGATAAAGCTGCACAGAACAGGTGTGTAACAAACAATAAAATACTTTCTTATTCTGTGTGACTGGCGAAGCCACACACAGTATAGTATTCGACATACTTATCTCATCTTATAGATAGATAGATAGATAGATAGATAGTACTTTATTGATCCCAAATTGGGAAATTGTTGTTGTTACAGCAGCATAAAAGGCATTTTACAATAAAACAAAACTACAAAATATACAAGGATAGAAATAAAAATAAAATATAAAATATACATGTTGAAATAGAAAATATACATGCAGATATTATATATACAAATATATATATATATTCAAAATATATGACATTATGTAATATGGAGTATAAATATTGAACAGATTATATGAGTAAAATGTACAACGTGGTTTAATTTCTAAAGAAACTATGGAGCAGAGAGTTCTCTTCCAGCCAGAGGTGATTTATTGTACAGTATTATTGCAGTGGGCAGGAATGTTTTCCAGTATCTGTCCTTGTGACAGGGGAGCTGCAGCAGTCTGTTGGAGAAGGAGCTCCGTTGACTGTCCAGCTGCAGGTGGAGAGGATGGGTGGGGTTATCCATGATGGACAACAGCCTGTTCAGTGTCCTCCTCTCCACCACAGCTTCCAAAGGGTCCAGCTTGATGCCGATGACTGACCCAGCTTTCCTGATCAGTTTATTGATCCTGCTGGTGTCACCGTCTCTTATGCTGCCCCCCCAGCAGACCGCAGCAAAGAAGAGTGCACTAGCCACCACAGACTGATAGAAGATCTCCAGCATCTTGCATTGAATTAAAGCAGCGGGAGCAAACGCTTGCCTCGGGGAGGGAGAAAAAAAGCCACAGCGGAGAATAAACAGAAGGGTAATCATGGTAACTATGGGCGGGAAGTCTTCTTCGCTGCTTTTATGGCAGACTACAGCGCCACTTACAGGCCTGGCATATGTACTACAGTGACTCCAGCGCTTTCGAGCGGCAATGGCCGGCCGTGGCCCAACCCCACATTCCCTAGGTGGAGAGTTGGCCCAATAGCCGTAGCGCCACTTTACTGACGTCAGTAAAGTGTTCAAATCTGGATCAGTTTTTATCAGATCCGTTGCAGCCCCTTTTTTAGAGATTTGGGTATGGAGGAAAATAGAGAGGGTTGTGTTTTCTGACACTTGGTGAGTTCCCTGGAACACCGGGGACACATATTCATGTATAAAAGACGTACAAAAGTGCATTTTGCATGATAGGTCCCCTTTAACTATAATATAAAAAGCATCAATCTGGTGCACTTTGAGAGCAAAATTAAGAGATCTATGGATACATCTCTCAACATCCATATGAAACAGAACTGTAAACAGATTTTCTTTTTCTTTAAGGATATTTTACAAATCACTCTCCTTTCAAACTGTATTCTTGTTTATTAATAACAACTTTTTCATGTCATATAGTATTTTATACCTGTTTACTTTAGTCTCTTATTTTTTTATAACTATAATGATCATATAAAGATGTGCCTTTACCTCACTGGCTGTAGAAAAAGCTTCTTATATTCGTTAGCATAGCTAGCTAACCAGATGCTAATAACAAAGAAGTTATTGACTGTATGATCAGTATCACAGATGAACAGATCGCCACTGGGCTTTCAACTAGACACAGCCACGCAAACACTGCGGCTCCTTATGGGTAGCCTACTGCAATTTTTGAATGCCGGAGCGACGTTCTGGTGCTCTCCGTCAGAACTACTGCACCCTAGAGATGGGCGAGTCCTGATTCATCCGGATCATTAACCCGGATCCTAGAAATGAGCTGGTCATGACGAGTCTCCCCTCTCCATTAACCCGAGTCCTTGAGTCCCACACTTGGTGTGACGTACAAATTAAAACTATAAATTGCGTCACTCGCTACTCTCTTTATAACATGTAAAATCACATTACAACGTACCCCAAGTCCATCTACCTACCCTTTAGCAAGTATACAGTCACAGGATAGCTGCCAGAAGTGATCGTTTGGCTCAGGGGAGGGGACGCGGATCAGTGAAACTTCCTGCAGACTCGTGGGGACTCAGAGGAGCCGACGGCTCCAACAGCAGACTCGCAGATTCGCAGATTCGCAAATCCTGACTCGCTGCAACACACAGCGGATCAGACTCGTGCGGACTCGGAGCCGTAACCATATAGCAGCAGATCCAGAGATCCAGCAGACTCGTCCGTCATGCACGAGTCCACAGCAGACTCGGATTCGCAAATCCTGACTCACTGTGTGTGCAACACACAGCAGTGCGGACTCGCAGACTCAGATTTGCCAAATCGCAAAATAACCCTTTTTTTTGTGATCAACATTTTTTATTAAAGCAAAATACACTGTGTAGCGGAGGTTAATATAACGTCAGTTTAATAGATAGATAGATAGTACTTTATTGATCCCAAATTGGGAAATTGTTGTTGTTACAGCAGCATAAGGCATTTTACAATAAAACAAAACTACAAAATATGCAAGAATAGAAATAAAAATAAAATATAAAATATACATGTCGAAATAGAAAATATACATGCAGATATTATATATATATATATATATATGTATATTCAAAATATATGGAATAATAATATGCTCGTGAAATGCAACAACTTTTCGTTTTCACCAATAGGATTTCTACGGTCTTGGTCATGCTGACTCATATGACTCAAATGACTCGTATGATCCGGATCTCTTCAATGACTGACTCAGAAGACCCTGAGTCCGTAAAATGATCCGGATTTGCCATCTCTACTGCACCCCTGACGAGACATATACCACGTGATGACACGTTAGGCTCATGTTGTGTTCAAGGACCCTGACCTTGGCCAGGAAAAACAGGCACTCGCTTTTTTAATTATTTTGCAGTCTAGATTTCTTTAATTTTTTTTTTTGCGGGTGTTTATAAATTACCTCGAGGGCCGTATCAAATGGTCTCGCGGGCCGTATACGGCCCGGGGGCCGGAGGTTCCCCACCCCTGACATATATGAATTAAAATATGACACGAGAACATAAAACAAATACCTCGTTGGCCGCTTGTCGTGAAAGGAGATTCATCTTTAAAGTTCCTTTTCCGTATAACCTTGTCAAATTATAACTTTGTCACAGACTTCAGCAGAGCTTCAAATAAAGACTTCAACCCACGTTGAGTTGTCCAGTGTATCAACAAAACAGGCAGTACCAGTACATGAACAAACATTAGTTCCTACTGTAGGCACAAGAAACAACAAACACTTACGCATATTGGTTTAATATATAAAACAAACTGTATTAAATCATGCCATATTTAACGATTATAATATTACATGAAATAAAGTACCCATTTATTGAATTCAACTATGAAACCAATTGTGTTGTTCTTTTTGATTAAGGCAACTTTGTTACGTCATTTACAAAGAGATTCGCCTAGCCGTTGTCACGCAAATTAGCAGAAAACTGCGATCATTTGCTCCATAGGAATGAATGGGAAATCCATTTGAACAGAGCTCAAAAACACTCCTTTGACCCCATCAGGGGCGTCGCCTGGACCTGAAAACATTCGGGGCTTAGCCCACAGTGGCGGCGGCACTACAGTGGCATTTTTCACTGCAAAACTCCCCACACGCACACACACAGTACACCCGCGACTGTTACAATGAAGGCTCGATAATCAGCTCACGGCATATAGGCAGGGGTAAAGTGGTATTTTTTCCTCTCGGGGGGTCCGGGGAAGATTTTTTTTTAAATATTGAAGTTAAATGCATCAATCTGGTGCACTTTGAGAGCAAAATGAAGAGATCTATGGATACCTCTCTCAACACCCATATGAAGCAGAACTGTAAACAGATGTACTTTTTCTTTATGGATATTTTACTAATCACTCCCCTTTAAAACTCTATTCTTGTTTTACTGCCATATAGTATTTCATAACTGTTTTTCCTTTATTCTCTTATTTTTTTTATAACTATAATGATCATATGAAGGTGTGCTGCGGAAATAATCGTTTGAATAATTTGTGACCAAACCGTTTGAGACCCACTGAGATAACTTAGACTAAAGTTATGTATCTAAACACTCAGAGAGTCCTTTAGCTCACCTGAGTCTCAGTCTGAGAGGAGAGGACTCTCCTCCAGCTTCAACAAACAGCTCCTTATGTCCGTGAGTGCAGCTAGCTAACCAGATGCTAACAACACGGTCCATGCTGGCACCGGTCCCTCCCTCCCCCTTTCTCCCTCTCTCTCTCTCTATCACACTAAATGCGCTATTGCCACACACACACAGAGCCAAGCTTGAATGACACAAGCACACGTTTATTTCCATGCAACTCTCTGATTGGTCTGGTGTCATGCCTCTGTTGCATTCACTGAACACGGGAAATTAGAGTGCTGCTGTTCTCTCGTGTCATGATGAGGTTCACGTAAAGCACGGTTAATGTATTATATTATTGAGGGAGAATTGTCCGGGGCTACAGAAAAAACATTCGGGGCTAAAGCCCCGGATGCCCAGGCCAGGCGACGCCACTGGACCCCATACAGATTCCGCATACTTTAACGTAGGACAAAAATTACAAGTTGAAACGGTTCTCGAGGCTATGGACTTTATTAGACTATTTGGATATTTTTGATAGCTAGTACGGTTCTCATGTAGTCGCAGCTTACGTTTTGTGGACATTTCACACTGGTTCACATTTTATAATGGGTGTGTATGGGAGAGCTCGTTAAGACTTACGGCCCGTCCACACAGCAGCGTTAAAAAAATCTTCCAACGCTTCTGCCCATTCACTTTGAATGGGGTGACGTCACTTTGCCTCACTTTTCGCCGAACTGCATTGTGGGCAGCAGAGCGGAGATTTTCAGGATTTTCAGTATTCAAAAGTTGAGCAATGTTCAACTTTTGAAGCTGAGGTGGAAGCGTCAGCCAATCAAATCCCGTTTATGCAAATCTGACAGTTCAAGCGCTAGCCAATCAAACCGCGTGTATGCTGGGAGAGACATACCGCAGGTCATTTCCTCATATTCCAAAAAATGGAGGAGAAATTAATTATAGCGGTAGGGAATCACCCGGTGCTTTATGACCAGTCCCTATTTACCTACCGGGATACAAACCGGAGGAGCCAGGCATGGAGGGAGGTGGCAGAGACAGTGGTAGGTTTTCGCCTGTTTGGGGAGTTTATATCCAGTTTACTTCGGGCTTTTTTGCTTCGTATGTCGGGGGCGGGATATTCATGTGATTGGTTGTTGGTCGCGTTGCTCGCAAAAAATCCCCAAGCTTCAGACACGCCCACCTCCAAGATTTTTTTAACGCTGCTGTGTGGACGCTCCGTTAGAGTGGTGACATCACGGCTAGAGGGGAGAGGAGCTGGAAAATATTCGGAGTTTTTTTTCCAACTATTGCTCGGCTGGCCACAATTTTCACTCTTCATACTTTGGTGATCATAATGTAGGGATATATGTCCCGGCCGCATCGATATGCTCATTTAATAAAAACGGACTTACACATATAGCAAACACGAGAGCCATCAGGTGTTCATCTGGTATCCTAAATACTCTGGGTAGGATATTTAGCTGATTAGAGTTACAGTTTTTTACTTAGAAGCAATAATGCAGCACAATATTGTCAATACATTCTCTGACAGGCTGTCTCTCGTTCACTGGCAGGGTGTTGCCGTGGAAACGCTTTGATCTTTGAACACACCTGTCGGTCGTTAACTAAATCCAGTGGTAATCTAAAGATGTTCAGGAACGAGGAATGTGGTACTAGAATCCAAAAGAGAGCTTTTCCCTCTTCAAGCTACCTAACTTCACTCCTTCCACCTTTGAATTCCATGCCGTCACAGTAACCCATCCTATACATTTAACCATTGTTGTTCTCTACCGTCCACCAGGCGCCTTGGGGGACTTCTTGGAGGAATTAGATAATCTCCTCTCACACATCCCTGAAACTGGCCCTCCCGCTGTACTTCTCGGAGACTTCAACCTCCGGGGGGAAGATAGCTGAACTAACATCTCTTTTAACCACCTTTGTTATAAACTACAGGCCTGTCTCTCTCCTCCTGTTCCTGTCTAAAACACTTGAACGCGCTGTCTTTAAACAACTCTCCTGTTATCTCTATCAGAACAACCTTCTTGATCCGCACCAGTCTGGTTTCAAGGCAGGTCACTCAACAGAAACTGCTCTCCTCGCTGTCTCTGAGGAACTGCACACGGCTAAAGCAGCCTCCCTCTCCTCTGTCATCATTCTTTTGGACCTGTCTGCTGCATTCGACACGGTGAATCATCAGATCCTCCTTCGCACTCTCCAAGAACTTGGAGTTTCAGGCTCTGCACTTTCCCTCCTCACCTCATACCTCAACGACCGCACCTACAGGGTAACTTGGAGAGGGTCAGAGTCCGACCCTTGTCAATTAACTACAGGGGTCCCTCAGTGCTCTGTACTTGGTCCCCTCCTCTTCTCCTTGTACACAAACTCGCTCGGATCAGTCATTAGCCCGCTTGGTCTGCTACGCTGACGACACCCAATTAATTCTGTTCTTTCCCCGCTCAGAGACCCAGGTCGTCGCACGCATCTCTGCTTGTCTAGCTGACATCTCTCAGTGGATGTCTGCTCACCACCTCAAGCTCAACCTTGACAAGACTGAACTACTTTTCCTTCCGGGAAAAGATTGTCCCACTCTTGACCTAACAATCAACATCGGCACCTCTATTGTGTCCCCGACTCAGACTGCAAGGAATCTGGGTGTGACCCTAGATAACAAACTGTCCTTCACTGCAAACATCGCTGCTACAACCCGCTGCTGCAGATACACGCTTTATAACATCAGGAGGATACGTCCCCACCTGACCCAGAAAGCGACGCAGATTCTGGCCCAGGCTCTCGTTATCTCACGCCTAGACTACTGCAACTCCCTCCTGGCTGGTCTACCTGCATGTGCCATCCGACCTCTGCAGCTCATCCAGAATGCAGCGGCTCGTCTGGTCTTCAACCTTCCAAGATCTTCCCACACCACGCCGCTCCTCCGCTCACTTCGCTTCCAGTTATTTCTAGAATCCACTTCAAGACAATGGATCTGGCCCTTCCTACATCCAGGACATGGTTAAACTGTACACCCCAGCACGTGCACTCCGCTCTGCATCGGCCAAACGGCTCGCTGCACCAGCACTGCGAGGGGGACCCAAGTTCCCATCAGCAAAAACACGTCGGTTTGCTATCCTGGCTCCAAAATGGTGGAATGAGCTCCCCATTGAAATCAGGACAGCAGATAGCTTGCACATCTTCCGGCGCAGACTGAAAACTCATCTCTTTCGACTCCACTTCGAGCGATAGAATTACTAACAAAGAATTGCTAACAAAGCACTTGTATACAAATAATGGACTGGCTTATCTAAAGCCAGTTGAGTAGCACTTGAAATGTTTTAGCTCTATGAAACCTGATGTACTTATATGATTCTGTTTTCTTCAAGTTTGTATCTTGTTGGTCGAATGCACTTATTGTAAGTCGCTTTGGATAAAAGCGTCAGCTAAATGCAATGTAATGTAATAGAATAGATAAACAGTTAAAATAGTCAGCTAAAATGAATGAATATTCATTGTTGTACCTTAACAATACAACTAATGCTATTAATACTTACTCAGCGGGGGTAATGTTAGCATCGGGATGCGCACCCAAGTTTCAGTCACACAGTCAACATTTCTCTGAGTTTTCTAGTTTCCTATCAAGTTCTTACAAATTATAAAACAATCTGAATGGGATTCATTATGGTTAAAGCCTCTCGTTAGCTATTTTCTGTTTATTAATTCACATTCAGATCTCCAACAACAGATCACAAATACACAAAGCACAGCAGTTAAAATACACAAAGCACAGCAGTTAAAATACACATTGTTAGAATATGTTATAGTTTAAAAAAGTTGGTGGCCTAATGTTTTATTTTTTTATTTCATAAAATCTATTTATAAATGTTATGCATAATGCATTTCTGTAGTCTTGTTTGTTGTTGTCATGATATTGTGATATTGATTTTAACACCATTGCCCAGCATTGAATGCAATTTGCTTCCCTAACACCACACTAACAGTACTTTGTTTATTTTCTGTCCCTCCAGAGCTCCCTCAGCAACATGTCTGTAATGAGGATGAGGTTCTCACTGACCAGCAGCTCTGTAGTCAGGAAAGGAACTCCAGTCTGGACCAAGAGGACCCAGAGCCTCCACAGATTAAAGAGGAACAGGAGGAACTTTGCACCAGTCAGGAGGAAGAGCAGCTTAAACTAAAGCAGGAGACTGATGTCTTCATGGTGACTCTTACTGATGAGGAAAGTGTGCACAGCGGTCAGACTTGTGCAAAAGAGTCTGTAGGCAACATGCCAGTTATAAGTGTTGTGGTATCAGAAGCACAAAGTCATCTGCAGCTCATCTCTCACAATTCTGATGACTCAGGGTTAACAAGAACTGCAGATCCAGAAATAAACAAAAGACATCACAAGACCAAAAGGAACAATGTAAACAACGCTAACTTGTCAGACATGCAACGTAATACTTGCACAGTGAAAAATAATTTAAAATGTGAAACTTGTGGGAAAGATTTTAAGTACATGTCAATACTGCGAAGACACATGACCACCCACACGGATGAGAAACCATGTGTTTGCGTGACCTGCGAGAAAAGCTTCAATGAGATGTCAAAATTAAAAAGGCATATGAAATTCCACACAGCTGAGAAGAAATATACTTGCAAAACATGTGGGAAAAAATTCAAATTGAACTGTAACGTTAAGATTCACATCATGAGAGTCCACACAGGAGAGAAGCCCTATGTTTGCGTGACCTGCGGGAAAAGCTTCGTTGAGACGTCAACATTAAAAAGGCATATGAGCATCCACACAGGTGAGAAACCGTATGTTTGCATGACCTGCGGGAAAAGCTTCGTGGAGACGGCAAAATTAAAAAGGCATATGAAAGTCCACACAGGTGAGAAACCGTTTACTTGTAAAGCATGTGGGAACAATTTCGGACGTAACGATGAATTATTGATCCACATGAGAAGGATTCACGCTGCCAAGAAGGCATAACTTTGAATTGAAAAGGTATTACATGGTTTACACCAACAAGTAGATTTCCATATGTACAAGTGACAAGGCACATAAATGCAGCACTTTTTTCATCTGGATGAATGTTCACCAGGCAGCTACCTCTGGGACTGAGCAATGCAACCTATGCTGAATATTTAAAAAACTGCAATTAAGTTGCAAATAGATTTCTTTATGTTTTCAACATGTCATTTTGTTTTGTATATTTATGTATTTTGTAGTGGAATCAAATTGTTTGTTATTTTGGTTTCAAGGTGACACTCAAGCTGAACTTGGAAATAATAATCTACTTTGTGCTTTAATGAATAGAAATGATCGGTGCACTTAATGCTGTGTGATCTAATGTATGTATCTAACAATAAAGCTTTGTATGGTGATGATGTAAGAATACCAGATTCACCCTAAACGCTAAAGATATAAGCAAATGAGGGTCATCCAGGCTGCTGGTATGACTGACATAATAAGTAAGTGGATGTAAGTTGTAAACAGTAGATGTTTAAATGATAGCCACATGGGCTTGAGCTTAACGGTGTGGTAGGTAATTTTGGAGAAACAAGCTTGAGTGCGCTAGAATTTGAAAATACACAGCCGGAAGAAATCTGCTACTTCCTTCAGACTTCCTTACAGAGCCCCTCCAACACACACGAACGCGCACATGACCAATGAGGGCATGAGATAAGTTTGTGCACAGATGGAAGGCTGACAGGCAGGTAGGCCATCCAGTTATTTTAACCGGGCCGGCTAAAATTATTGGTCGTGCTTTTTACAGTACTACGGCTTCCACAGATGACATTTTTTAATGGATTTTTTGTCAAAGCACTTAAGATATTAATTGCTATCGGGATGTTAAGAGCATTCCATGGAATATAACAAAAAGTGTATCTCGAGCCGGTTTCTCAAACTTACCTACCCGACCTTTAAGTTATTATATTATTTAAATACGTTGATTAGTTTGATCACCAGAGTTGCCTCATACTGAACTTTGGTAACAGTAATAAGAGATTGCATGTGAATCACAAGTAAGATCTTGAACAGTTTCAAATAAAAAACTAAATGGTTCTCAGATGGCATCGTATTGCTTTCCTTTCATGCAACATAAAGTTCTACTTTTCATTTTACAGGAGAATACTTTCCAAGCCGGTACATTCATTTGACGGCTATCAATTAAAAGAAAAACGTCTATCTATGTTTCTGATTAAGGTTTTCCATAAAAAAGTGTTCACACATTACTATGTAAAGTCCTTCCACCCTTGTAATGTGTTTTTTATTTTATTTAAAACATTGTATTTGCAATGGCTTAAAAAATATGAATAATTTCCTTTATTATAATGAATGTTGAAATAGCACAGCAAGGTTACAATGGCCTCAGTAAAATTCCCATGTTAAATTTGCACAGATTCACTGCCACTAACCAACATCTCAGTTATAATATTAAAATCTGAATCTGACAGAAAGGGCCCAGATTCATCCCAACCAAAGTGTCCACTACCTTTCTCACAACTCTCACAGAGAAGTTTATGTTGCAAGACCAATGTCCAAGTAATGCAGATCAAGTAAACTATATAAACATTTCAGAACAATAAATAAATACAATAAACTAAATAATGCAGAGAGTGTTGTTAGGGACTAAGTACATTTAGGAGTCTATATACATGTAAATAGAATAAGATATACAAGAACAGAATGTTAAATTAAATATACAGTCAAATAAAATGAAATACTGTTTATTGTAGGAATAACTGCAAATGTGACACTTGTGAGAAAAGGTTCACCCAAAAGTCAAACAAAAGTTATTCATGCAAGTGACTGAACAAGTGTTGGGGAACATGTTGTTTATGTAATGGTTTCCTTATTAGTTATTGTGGGAGATTGGTACAATGTATTTTTGAATGTCAATCCAGTAGGTGGCGGTAATGTAACTTTATCAGTGCAGAACGACTCCTTACGAAGAAGAACATTCCACCGGAAGTTGTGTTGTTCATGCCAACGAGAAAAATAAAAGTTGGTTTGGCTTATTTTGTCTCTTCATACATCCATATATTTCACACTGTAGAAATGGCTGCAGTTGAGAAACTGAGAAGTGTTATCAACGAGCGACTAGCTGCAGCTGCCGATGAAATATTTGGAGTTTTTTCTCAAACTTTATCAGCATACGAGGAGGAGATTTGTCGTCAGCGCAGATTATTGGATACCGTATTGAAGCCGCAGATAAAGCTGCACAAAACCGGTGTGTAACAAACAATAAAATACTTTATTATTTCCTATCAAGTTCTTACAAATTATAAAACAATCTGAATGGGATTCATTATGGTTATAAAGCCTCTTGTTAGCTATTTTCTGTTTATTAATTCACATTCAGATCTCCAACAACAGATCACAACTAGAGAATGCAATTCCTGAAGAAATTGCTAGTGGGAATGCTTTATGCTGAAAAGCTGACGCTAAACTGCTATGCTGAAATGTAATGTGTAAGAAGAAAGTGAAGAATTTAGATTGAAATGATACATGAACACTGGGGGCTTGAATGTGTGATGAGAGAAGAAAAGAAAGTAAAAAGGCTTGGAAAAGCAGCAGAATATTTGAACTGCAAACTTTTGAACTAATTTGATGGCGAATGATCTGTCGCCATGCCAACAACATTTGATGACATCCCATAATACGCTTAGATGCGTTGATGGCTGCATCATTACCAAACCTGTGAAGTTTTGGGCCGTTTGGAGCATTTTCACTGAAGTTATGAGAAAACCGTGTTTCATGGCGAGCATTGTGTTGCCATGGCAACGGCATTTGAAGAAATCTCAAAACGGTCCCGTAGATGTCTTCACGGCTGGACTGTTAGCACACATGTGAAGTTTGAGCACTTTTTTACCATTTTCATAGGAGTTATAGCGACATCGTCTTTTATGGCGATTCCATGCAAACGGCATATGATGAAACCCCATAATTGACGTAGAGCTGTTGAGGGCTGGACCGTTAACCATTTTGTGAATTGTGGTGCTGTTTTGACCCTTTTCATAGGCGTTACGACAACATCGTGTTTTATGGCGATATGCCGTTTCCATGGAAACGGCATATGGTGAGATGTCAGATTTGACGTAGAGCTGTTGAGGCATGGAGAGGTGATATACAGGTGAAGATTGTGGGACGACCGGACCGTGTCCATTGGAACTACAGCGACGTCGTGTTTTATGGCGAGGGATGCGTTTCCATGGCAATAAAGCTGTTGAGGCATGGACCGGTGATATACAAGTAGGCCTGTCACGATAATTAATTTTTTTGGACGATACATTTTCCTGGAAATGATTGCGATAAACGATAATATTGTTGGCGCTGTTGTAAGACCATTTTAGACCACTGACATAATGATAATATATAATAATAATTCAAGTACATCCTTTCAAACAGAACTTTTTATGGAACACTCAACATTGCAAATGAAATGTGAAATAATATTAAAATATATAAATGATACATAATAAATAAAACAAATTAATTAAATTATAGTAAATAAATTAAATCACACACAACCAAAACAATCAATTAAATAGACTCAGGCTGGAAAACAGAGCTATCTATCTATCTATCTATCTATCTATCTATCTATCTATCTATCTATCTATATATATATGAATAAATATATGAATAAATAAATAAATATGAGCTCACATTGTCTCACAAGCAAAAAAAACCCTCCTTAAAACAACAGTCAAGTGTACAGTCCACTGTCCTTACAAAGACCCAGATGTCTCAACAGGCCATATCCAAATCTGTTTTTCAAAGTTTTCGAGCAAGGAACACCAACATGTTTGCATTGTCGGGCAAATGCATCTTTGATTGTAAACTGTCGGGAAGGTGGGGGCTCTCCATCTCCAGCTGCCGTGTTTGCTACCAGCTGGGAAAACGGAATGGGGTGGTTGTGTTTTAGGTGTAGTTTAAAATGTGTGGTATTGCCTGCTTTTGTCGCTACCTTTTTTAAACAAATGCGACACACCGCCCTGCTCATTCAAGTCCGTAGGTTCGCCTCATTGATTTGGCTTGAATCCAAAATACTGCCACACCGGAGAATCGAGATGTGTAGTTAGGTTTTGTAACCAATTCCATTTCACTTTAAATTCCCCGCGAGTAAGTCACACGTTGTCTCCCGCTTGTCGCTATATTATTAATTTGGCTGCTACGCTGCTGCACGTGCACGCGGAGTGTCCTGACCTGGCTGTGTGTCAGCCCCGCCCCTCACAGCGCGCGTGGCCGGCAGCCACAGCGCGCCTGGCAGCCACAGCGCGCCTGGCAGCCACAGCGCGCCTGGCAGCCACAGCGCGCCTGGCAGCCACAGCGCTCCTAGCTAAAATGCTGGTCACATCCTTATGTAAACGGCAATTTATCGAGCTCAGAAAAGTTATCGAGTCCATTTTTATTTATCGTACGATAAGTCAATTTATCGATTATCGCGACAGGCCTATACAAGCGAAGTTTGGGGGGCGATCGGACCGTGTCCATTGGAGTTACAGCGACATCGTGTTTTATGGCGAGGGATGCGTTTCCATGGAAACGGCATATGATGACACCCCATAATGGACGTAGAGCTGTTGAGGGCAGGACCATTAACCATTATCTGAAGTCTGCTGCTCTGAGCATGTCAGTTGGAGTTATGACATCATCGTGTTCCATGACACAGGTGTTTATATTTGAGCTAACTATGTGTCCAGAGATCAAAGGTTTCCATGGTGATGATTTAATCAGTGAGTGGAGAGCATTTTCATTGTTCTGAATGAGAGATAAACCTCTTACATGTGAACGTTTTGTGGAAGAACCATAACAGATATCTGTGAAATTTCAAAACGTGAAGCATGTCAAGGAAGTTGAGTATCTGAAGTGTAATTTTTGTGTACTTTCGGGTTAATAATGTGGCCTTTTTGGCAGTTTAACTAAAGGTGTGCGGCTGCTGCTGTGAGGAAATATCAGCCTGAAATTACAATGGGTTTTAATGGAGACATGTTGAAAGTTTTTGTCACTTCATGCCCTCAAGAGGCATTTTGTTTAATTATTTTTGCTTAATTATTTGTCATTTTTCAAGCTACGAGATGTTTTCCTACGTTTGTCATGAAAAATTATGTCTCAGGAATGTAGGGTTTGGGAATTATGGCAGTTTTAAAAGAAAATATGAAGGCAAATTTCAAGATTTCCTCCCCTCTAGCTGTGACATCACGCACTCTAGTTAATGTTAAAATCTGAAGAAAGCCTCTTTACCAAGGTCTGAACAATGTTTAATATCTCTAAAAGTAAGAATCACGACTAATGTCAGAAAGATGTGTAACATTTTAAAGTTGGAATGAGGTTTCTGAGTGAAAGTATGAATGAACAGTTAGCAGTTGAAGTCGCATGAAGATTGTTCAAGTCTGAAGATTTTCTCCATTGACTTCAATGGTTAAAAATGTGATGAATTATGGGATGTATCTCTGGAATTATGAAAGTTATGAATGATAAAAGTAATAGCCATCGATTCCCGACCGAGCTGAACGTTTTGATGTTTGAACGGAGTTTCTGCGATGTTGAATGCAGGAGGAGAAGAGGTGCAAAAATCCGGCGGAATAATAAAAATGTTGTCCGTAGAATAACATTTAGTGGGAATGCTGTGTCAGCATTCCCACTAAAATACACAAAGCACAGCAGTTAAAATACACATTGTTAGAATGTTATAGTTTAAAAAAGTTGGTGGCCTAATGTTTTTTAATTTAATTTTATAAAATCTATTTATAAATGTTATGCATAATGCATTTCTATAGTCTTGTTTGTTGTTGTCTTGATATTGTGATATTGATCTTAACACCATTGCCCAGCATTGAATGCAATTTGCTTCCCTAACACCACACTAACAGTACTTTGTTTATTTTCTGTCCCTCCAGAGCTCCCTCAGCAACATGTCTGTAATGAGGATGAGGTTCTCAGTGACCAGCAGCTCTGTAGTCAGGAAAGGAACTCCAGTCTGGACCAAGAGGACCCAGAGCCTCCACAGATTAAAGAGGAACAGGAGGAACTTTGCACCAGTCAGGAGGAAGAGCAGCTTGAACTAAAGCAGGAGACTGATGTCTTCATGGTGACTCTTACTGATGAGGTGAGTGTGCACAGCGGTCAGACTTGTGCAAAAGAGTCTGTAGGCAACATGCCAGTTATAAGTGTTGTGGTATCAGAAGCACAAAGTCATCTGCAGCTCATCTCTCACAATTCTAATGACGCAGGGTTAACAAGAACTGCAGATCCAGAAATAAACAAAAGACATCACAAAACCAAAAAGAACAATGTAAACAACGCTAACTTGTCAGACATGCAACGTAATACTTGCATAGTGAAAAATAATTTAAAATGTGAAACTTGTGGGAAAGATTTTAAGTACATGTCAGTATTACGAAGACACATGACCACCCACACGGATGAGAAGCCATATGTTTGCGTGACCTGCGAGAAAAGCTTCAATGAGATGTCAAAATTAAAAAGGCATGTGAAATTCCACACAGCTGAGAAGAAATATAATTGCAAAACATGTGGAAAAAAATTCAAATTGAACTGTAACGTTAAGATTCACATCATGAGAGTCCACACAGGAGAGAAGCCCTATGTTTGCGTGACCTGCGGGATAACGTAATACTTGCACAGTGAAAATTAATTTAAAATGTGAAACTTGTGGGAAAGATTTTAAGTACATGTCATTATTGCGAAGACACATGAGCACCCACATGGATGAGAAGCCATATTCTTGCCAAACATGTGGAAGAGATTTCATACAAAGTAGAATCTTGATGTACCACATGCGAGTCCACACCTATGAGAAGAAATATACTTGCAAAACATGTGAAAATAAATTCAGATTTAACATTGACTTTAACAGTCACATGAGAATCCATACAGGAGAGATGCCCTATGTTTGCATGACCTGTGAGAAAAGTTTCATTGAGATGTCAAAATTAAGAAGGCATATGAAAGTCCACACAAATGAGAAACCGTTTACTTGTAAAACATGTGGGGAAAAAATCTGATTTAACCATGATTTTAAGAGACACATGAGAATCCACACAGGAGAGAAACCGTATGTTTGCATGACCTATGAGAAAAGTTTAATTGAGATGTCAAAATTAAGAAGGCATATGAGAGTCCACACGAATGAGAAACCGTATACTTGTAAAGCATGTGGGAACAATTTCAGACGTAGCGATGAATTGTTGAACCACATGAGAAGGGTTCACGCTGCAGCTGTTCACCAGGCAGCTACCTCTGGGACTGAGCAATGCAACCTATTTGTATTTCTCTTGCGCACGATATACTTTCTTGTGTGCACGAGATACTTTCTTATGGTTAGACACATCGAACTGCCCGATTATTACGCCATATTATTAGTTTTATGAAGAAGATGTCCGGTCGCCAGAGGCCTGTACTACGAATCCAGTTCAACATACCCTGGGCATACCCTGGGAGTTACCCGGCTTACATAACCCAAAACAAACGCGCTCTCGCTAAGCGGTCCTACGATGCTGGTTATCAACTCGGTAACTCAAGCCAGTAGGGGTGTAACGGTATCCGTATTCGTCCCGTACCGCCACGGTTCGGACGTCACGGTTGCAGTCACACGACGAATACGCCTTTTTTTTTACGAGTGGGAAAAAAGTCTGTCATTCAGGGCAGTATCCACTACACTATATATAATCCAGGGAGTGGTATTGCGCCTAAAAACTGTTTGCCAGTCGCCCTTAAACAACAAATGAAGAAGAAGAAGAAAACACAACAAAACCATGGATGTATAATAAGAACGGGATACAGCGTGGGAGGCGGGGCCTCGTTCATTCCTATGAGAGTTGCTCATTGGCTATACAAATGTTCATACTGGGTAGTTTATTTAGTTAAACAAATTATCCAACAATTTACAGACGTCTCTTTCCCAATGTTAGTCAATGGGAAAAAGTATTTCTGGGCCCAGCGACTGATACGTAAGTGTAGTACAGCCGTTTGGCCACAACGAATATTTTCCTCAGAGTCCGGCGCACTTCCTGGGGGCTTGAACAAAACAAACAAAATACAAAAAGAAGAAAAGTTAGTATTGCGAGTTCAGATAACACACAGGAGCTAGAAGACCCACCTGCTTCTTTTAAATCAGCTGTGTGGGAACATTTCGGGTTCCCTGTGGACTACAATAACGGTGGAGTGCGAGTGGTGGATCGGACGAGGACGGTGTGCCGGCGTTGTTCGACAGCGGTGCGGTATGCTAATAGTAACACACGCCAAACATGCTAAATCATATCAGAAGGCATCACCAAGATTTGGCAATCACCGGAGCCCGGCAAAAGACAACAGCAGTTCAACAGCTTATCCCCGCTGTTTTTAAGAAGCCAATAGAGTGGCGAAGTCCCTCCCCTTCCGGTGGACCTCCATGGGACCTTATTTCGGAAAAATTATGTATTGAAGTCAATGGAGAGAGAAAGATTATCTTTCGATCCCGTTTGAATTGTGCCACGAATTACACATATGATGTTTGTCAATTTAAAAGATAATTTTGCAAGTCAAAAAAAAAAAAATGTGTCGTAAAACTGTGAAGTAACACATTTGTTTGTGTGAAACGCTCAATGAACTACATCTCTGGTCAACAACACATGTCACCAAGATGGCCGTCACTACGGTCTTGTCAACAAAACGATTGACTGCCCTCACTATCACCACAATGAAACACGTCCTGAAGAATGTCATGCAAAGCTGCCTGCCTGCCTTCCTTTGATTCTCTCTGAACTGCCTGGTCGTTTTAATGTTTAATGTCAACCATATGTGCAGATAGCATGAAGTAGAAAAGATCGCTAGCGTTAGCGTTAGCATTTCTCCCCCGGGCTTAAATTGTGTATTATAGAATGACCACACCGGTGACAGTACTCTTCAAAGGGTTCACGAAATATGACTACTACTCTTACTGTTTAACATTTTGGGTTACTTAATGTTACTTCATGTTAAGGCTAATAAAAATGACAAGGCTGTAATGCTAACTAACGTGCTAGCTACTAGCTAGGTAGCTAACTTGATCCAGCCACTCCTGGTCCTTTCATCAGACGGGAAGCAAAAGAACGAGCAAGACCCATTGCTGGTATAATAACAACCTGGTACTAAGCACACAGGCATCTTGTTAAAGTTATCTTATCTTAGCCAGCGCCATATAGATAGATTCTATCTATATGGCGTTATCTTATCTTAGCTATCTCTATTTTAGTGGAGGAAAACAATTGTGACATCACTTACGCGACTCTGGGATTTGTAGTCTTTCCAGTTGCGTATTTTTCATAGTCTTATATTTCAACAGTTTTACGACAAACTGTGACTTTTTTGACATGGAAATGATTTTTTAAGATTGACAAACATCATATGTGTAATTCATGGCACAATTCAAACGGGATCGAAAGATACGTTTTCTCTCTCCATTGACTTCAATACATTATTTTTCCGAAATAAGGTCCCATGGACCGGAAGTAGATGGGCGTGACTTCGCCACTCTATAGACATGAAAGCCGAGAGACCAAAATAAATAACGGAAGCTTTTGGCATATGTTTTCCAACGGCTATGCTGCGCCCTTATGCAATAGTAGAGGACCCCGGCTTGTATTGATTGTGATTGAAAGTGATTGAAACACTATCTTATTATTTATTTTGTAATATTTTCAAGACATTCTTTTTAGTTTTACAGCTTATTGAACCTTTTTGTTTGACATCAGCCATTATAGACAATATGACCATCTGAGTGTGGGTGGTACTGTTTGTGGTTTGTTTTGAAAGGTCCCATGTCATGGCCATTTCTACTGATCATAATTCCATTGTTGAGGTATACTAAAATAGACTTATACTGTGCAATTTTCCAAACTCACATTGGTTTCTAATACAGCATCTCTGTAAAGCAGGGGTACTCAAATACAAATCTTAAAGGTCCAAAAAAATGTTTTCAATAAGACAAAGGTCCGTTTATTACGGTCATTCAAACTTTTAAACAATTGCAACAAGATTCTTAACACGAGGTTGCAAAAACTAAAATAATCTGTATGCAGCAGTTTTCATTGTTATTGTGTCTGTGCTTGATCCCTCAGAGTCGCAGTGTAAGAGCTGCACAGTTATGAATAAAGGCAGCTGCACCCTCTTTCATTCAGCATTCCCATTATTGCTTTATAAATGTCTTGCCCCCTTGTGTGTCCACTGAGGTTCGTCAGGCCCAACACATCTTCAACAAACTCCCCCTTTGCCTCATCATAAAAACTCACAAACACCAGCAACTGAGCATTGTCAGTGGTGTCAGTGGACTCATCCACAGCTGTGCATTTTTTATTCCATCACAAAGCTGATTAATCAAATCACCAGCCAGTATTTATGTTCTTCTGGTTGCTGTGGAATCTGAGAGGGGGATTTGCTTGATTTGACCTGTTATTTCCTCTTTTTGTTTGCCTTCAAACATGGTCTCCATCACTTCAGTCATGCATTCTTAAATCGAAGTGGTTACTTTGTTTTGGCTGGGCAGTGTAGTTTTACACACCGTCTTATTTGACTTTCTCAGGACTTAAAACTGTTTTTTGGGGGCAGACCCCACAAAGAAAAAAATATATGTACACACGTAAGGTCATCATCTTAACAGTTGTGTATGCTCATCCGTGAGCAGAGCATCAAGTTGACATGTCTATTACAGCTGAATGCGGCGATTACCATTTTGTTCAGCAAAACGCCTCACAAAATTAGTAAGATCCAAAGCTTTAGTGCGTTTTGATTCAATGCTGAGTACAGCCAAACTTGACAGTCTCTTCTCTGTCATTGTAGACCGCAAATACCTCATTCCTTCAGTACTTGGGTCCGAATGCTTCTCGTTTTGCGCCGTCCCGTTCAAATGAAATCGCTGCCAATCATATTTCCACGCTCGCGCCAGGGCCGGGGGAGGGGTTACAAGACGTGCGTCTTGTGCTGCATTCACTTGCACTCGGACATTAGAGATTTTCTCTCATAAATGTCCGATGAGCCACAACTTTTCTTTCAAAACAAAGCTGCCAACTGGGGTGTTAGCTGGGGTGGCAAGGCCTATTTTTAGGGTGGCAGTTGCCACCCCATGCCACCCCGGTAGGTGAAACTAGGCTACTAGCTACAGTACAGATGCAACTAGATGAGCTGTTAACTCTCGCTCTGACTTTTTTTTTTTTAAACACACACGCATTTTTCCCACCCGCATTCCGCGAAGACCCGCCCTACTGTGCCTCTGATTCGCAGACTGTTGGTGGGGGAAAAAAATGCTGTGATTGGACCAATGCGTTGACAGACACACACAGACAGTGGAATAGTCGTACATGCAGAGCGCTGTTTGCAGTAGACACAGCGGAGAATTTTGACTTGTTACGTTGTGGCGATGTCTCGCAGATAGCACAGATAATACAGATAATACATATGAAAAGTATAATTTGCTCAGAGTCCAGAGACAGTTGTGGTTCGGTCCGGATCCGGACCAGAGTCCGGACTTTGAGGATGCCTGCTGTAAAGTATGTGTATTCACCGGTATTCACTCTCTGTCCTAAACGGCTTGTTGGAGCTCCTGCCCCCCCCCTCCCTGTGAGCCCAGTGTGCTCTGATTGGTCGGGACGTTGAGAGGCTCGTTGCTGCTCGCAGCTGCTGCGAGGAGCAGACAGGCTTCCGTGTCGGCGAGAACAAGCGAAACTCATCCTGAGCACACACAAACACTCACAGCCGAAGTAAAAACAATAAGTGTGGCTTGATATTGAGTAAGAAAAAGGTTTATAATGCTGTGAGCATGGGTCTGCGGAGAGCATTTCCAGCCCGAAAAACGTTTACCCATTTAAACAGTCGTGGTAGATACCTTGTTTGTTTTAAACATCCTAAATACACAAACAACAATGAATACTTACAGGTTGTGTACCCGAATCTCCCGCTGGTCCAAACAAAGTAGGAACAGCATCGTTCTTCAGTGTCCTACGCTGTACATATCCGGCATGAATCGCTGAAAGGTTTGGGAAGCTTTGTTTCGTGAAAGGCTGGCAGAGGGTGTGGCCTCTGGGTATCCCCACGTCAGAGTACCCATGAAGTAAACAATGGAAAATGAGAAATCTCCAACGAGGCGTTTTGGGGCAGCATAGACTGTGTTAGAGTTTTACTCGCTACAGGGTGTACTTTGAGGGTTTTTGACTCTGCAGACCTTTTACATGCATAAAAACCTTCATAACACACAAGGGGACCGATAATAACCGGAAAAGCATGACATGGGACCTTTAACTGTGTAATAAAGTTAATTATTCAAAATGTTAGAGTTCCTTATTTTTAAACTGAAACTTGCACTACTGTTCAAAATAAATAAAAAACAAACCTGGAATTGTGCATTTGGGACTTTTTTTTGCTTTTTCTTGTTGTACCGAACCCGTACCGAACCGTGACCCCCAAACCGAGGTACATACCAAACCGTGAATTCTGTGAACCGTTACACCCCTACAAGCCAGGGTTTCTCTGTCCGGCTTAGTGCGCGTTCACATGAAAGGGGCGGGGTTAGCAACATTTGACCAATCACAAACATGGACAAGCGTACCGACAGCGCAGCGTCATACTTCCTGAATGAAAAGTGAACTATAATATCAGACAAATATGAAGAAGTTCAACTTTAAACATCCATGACTTAAACACTTTATCGAGGATAAATGCAACATAGTTGCACCTGCAAGGTGAATACAGAACAGCTGGTAAAAAAAACACTTCAGAAACACTTCCATGGAATGCTCTTAACATCCCGATAGCAATTAATACATTAAATGCTTTGACAATAAATGCATAAAAAAATGTCATCTGTGGAAGCCGTGGTGCTGTAAAAAGCACGACCAATTATTTTAGCCGGCCTACCTGCCTGTCAGCCTTCCATCTCGTGCACAAACGTATCTCGTGCCCTTATTGGTCATGTGCGCGTTCGTGTGTGTTGGAGGAGGGGCTCTGTAAGGAAGTCTGAAGGAAGGGGCAGATTTTTGATGGTTGGGTTGTCGAATCCTGGATTTTGCATTCATTCGTCACTTCTTTTTCAGTTAATTTTTGTATTTAATATATGTTTTTATTTAATTGTGACGTCCTGTCTGTATACTTGTGCTTTAAAATGTATTGTTTAATTTTACATATTTGTCATATAATAATCAAAATATATGTTTACAAATGTTACATAGTCTTTGTCACCATCTTTTGCATTATAAAGATTACTCTTTTACCCCTATTTTTGGGGGGGGTTGTGCTTTTTACAGCAGGCCTGGTTGCCACGATATGTACCCCCTTGCTATCTCTGACAACAAACGTGTCACATACATGAAACTTGCTCCATTTATTGGTACTAGTCCTACAACTATACCCTCAAAAGTGCTTGAGGGTGGGATTAATAGAAGCATCTTTTTTGGGGGGGTGCATTTCACGGCGGGGGTGCGTATTTCGGCACCCCCAAAAAAGATGCTAAAAGGGTCACATACATGAAACTTGCTCCATTTATTTGTAGCCTACTAGTCCTAAAACTATACCCTCAAAAATGCTTGAGGGTGGGATTAATAAAAGCATATTTTTCGTGGGGGGGTGCGTATTTCGGCACAACTGGACTAGTACCAATAAATGGAGCAAATGTATGTGACACGTTTGGAGCAGAGATAGCAAGGGGGTGCATATCGTAGCAACCAGGGCTGCCGTAAAATGCACCCCCCCCAAAAAAGATGCTTCTGTTAATCCCACCCTCAAGCACTTTTGAGGGTATAGTTGTAGGACTAGTACCAATAAATGGAGAAAGTTTTATGGCTGTGACACGTTTATTGTCAGAGATAGCAAGGGGGTCCATATCGTGTTAACCAGGCCTGCTGTAAAAAGCAACCCCCCCAAAAAAGATGTTTCTATTAATCCCACCCTCAAGCACTTGATGTAAAAATCCATTAGCTCATTTAGACCCGAATAATTAACACAACAAGGTAAAAGAGTAATCTTTAAAATGCAAAAATATGCTGACAAAGACTATGTAACATTTGTAAACATATATTTTGATTATTATATGACAAATACGTAAAATTAAACAATACATTTTAAAGCACGTGTATACAGACAGGACGTCAGAATTAAATAAAAACATATATTAAATAAAAAAAATAACTGAAAAAGAAGTGACGAATTAATGCAAAATCCAGGATTCGACACCCCATGTTTCAATATGTATTGTGTGCTATACTGATAATAACGACACGGACACACTCTATCTTACTCTCACGTACTTTACTTGTAATGTTCCACAAGATACAATGCAAAATCCTAGCCGTGCTAACTTCAGAACTGACGCTCATGCCTGGTCCCTCGGCTCATGTCGTCCCCTCGGGCCACCTGTGCGTCAACAAATAATGTCCCCCTGGCCAACGTATATTGCAACACCCCAACCATCAAAATATGGAGCGAAAAGTTTAACCACAAGAATCAAGACTAGTGGTTAGCTACCACTAAACGACTCACAGTCTGAAAATTACCATTAAAAAAAACCCTGGACGTTTACTTTTTGTTTTAAGCATCGTTTTAAGGTGTAAACGTTTCATTTTCAAATACGCGTTCCCGTGACAAGGGGTGCATTTCACGGCGGGGGTGCATAATTCGGCACAACACCGGCAATGGCAGTTTTTCTGTATTTCCATTATCCTGTAATATGAATTGATAGCGTATTGAGAGTACGATGCGTTCGAACTAGGTCACGAAGGCGTCACGTGACCTCCCGATGGTATAAAACCTTCGGCCGCACGTGGTAAATTAAATTGCTGATCGCAGATTATTGGGAGCAGAACACACCGTAAATTCAACTTTAACATGCCACCCAAGGTAGGGAGAGGCAGACGGAAGAAGCTGGCTGGTAAATACAGAACTCAGAAGAGGAAAGCAGAGGAAACTGAGGATTTAGAGGTCCAAGAAGACAGCACTGAGTCTCCAACCAGAGAGAGAAAGGGGAGGAAATGCAAGAAAGATGTCAGTCCTTGTCCAAGTAAAACTCCAGAGCGGTCCCCAGAGGGTTCCAGGTCTCCTCAGCGGTCTGAAAGGTCTCCTCAGCAGTCTGAAAGGTCTCATCAGCAGTCTAAGGGGTCTCCTCAGCAGTCCCAAGAGTCTCGGCAGCATTCACCTTCTCCCCCTCCTCCTCTTAACAGACAGCCCGAATCCTCGGATGATGAAGGTAAATATTTATAACTTATTTTTGGTATGGATGGGGGGCAAGAGGGGTTATTGATGTTGTTATATATTCCCATACATTGTTGTCCTGCATGTACTTGATTTTTTTTCCATTTGGTATCTTTTCAGATGAGTCAGCTTCCCCCGCCCTCCCTGCTGGCAAGTCCAAGTCCAAGCCTGAAGTGAGCAAGGGCGACAAAGGGAAAGGCAAGGCCCAGAATGAGAACCCACCCCCTGGTGCATCATACAGCTTCACAGAGGCACAGGAGGAGGCAATCGCTCACTGGGTGGAGAGTAACAAGGTACTGTATGACATGAAGGACAAACAGTACAAAGACAAGGCATTAAGGAGGCAACTATGGGAGGGAAAGGCTGCGGAGAACGGGATGGATTGTAAGTATAACAATTTTTACATTTCAATTACTTTGAAATATTTGAAATCTATTTCAGATACTTGACATACATTGCTGTCAATGAACATTTCAATGATTGTACTAATTATTTGTTTTGATTTCTGTCATTGCAGATCATTCAATTCAGAAATGGTACCACACACAGAGGACTCGATTCTCGAAGCTGCGGGAGGGCCAACCCAAGAAGAAATCCCAGAAGAGGTTCGGTGATGGTCTGTCGAGTGGTGACGAGGAAGACCCCATCCTTGCTGAGGTGGCCAGTGAGAATGACAGTGACCGTGACAAGTTCATCCGCCGGGTCTTTGGGTTCATGAAGCCACACATCAGACGTCACAAGAAAGATACACCAGCTAGTGTGAGTATATCATTGAAATTAAATTCAAACTGAACTTTGTTGAACATTTTCAATTTCCAAAATTTTTGTTTCCAAATATAACTTTCAAATGTACTTATGTTTGTTTTCAATTTTTGTCTTTGCAGTTTAAGGACAAGTTGGCCCTGGCTGAGACGGGTGAGCTGGCTGGGAGTGACGAACCCAGGGAGCCCACCAAGAGGTACACTGGCTACCCTACACCGAGACCTCCTTCCAGGACAGGAACAGCTGTTGAGGACCGACCCGAGTCTCCTACTATGGAGATGAGAGTTACCGGAGCATCCCGTGATCTCCAAGATAGGCTGGTTCAGTTCATCACTCGAGAGCAGCAAGTCAACAGGGCCACTCCTTTCTGCAAGTACCTGGAAACCGAACTGGATCGTCTGCATGATGCCTGCCTGGAACCTGCGTATGAGGAGATCACCACAGTTCTTAACCAGTAAGTATATAAAATTGCATACATTTGAAATTTATTTATTTGATGTCACACATTTTATTGCATGCTAAATTTGAGCTTGTATTAATCCTATGCTGTTTGTTTTTGTCTTTCCAGTTACCGGAAGGTGTCCAGACAGTTCAGGATGCGGGAAGCGGCTGGTGACCAGATCAGTCCCTTAGAAGATGTCCCGTCAGCATTCCAGTCGCAGCAGCCGCAGCAGCAGAGGCCAGTTGCTGTGATCCCAGTCTGCACATCTGCCACCTACTCAAGACTAGGGATGGGAATCGAGAACCGGTACTAAGTCAGTACTGGTACTTGATTGGACGGTATTGGTATACCATTAAGCCGCTGGACAAACGGTGCTGCTATCGGTATATGAATTACGCTACTTCCTTAGTTTAAACAATTCTGGTTGGTTGGGAACCCTCATCCAGTTTGAGTGCCACTCTGATTGGCCACTGTGAATGCCACTCGTCATGTCTCCTAACAGCGCTCTTCTTATTGTGAGACTCCCGGGGGCAGACTATAGGGGCAGACGCAACATCTTGCTAGAAACAGCGTCTCAAGGCTTCTTAACATTTAACAACCTATTAATGATGCATACCCACTTAACGGGAAGAAACTCACCTAACAGACGATATTAACCATTTTACCTACACGGAACAGAAGTCCAACACCAAGAGTCTAAATCAACACATAGCAAAACGAGCTAACGGGGCTAACGGCTACTTTAGCACATAACTGGAAAAAGCAATCTTTTCTACGTCATTAGCCTCATCTCAATACCCCTCCTCGACTCCTCTCTTCCCCTCCTCCGGGACTTGACCCGGAAATCGATCAAGACACGCCATGTTGAAGGACGTCCCAATAGCTGAAATGCACACGGAGGAGTCGAGGAGGGGTGAGGGAGGAGACGAAAGGGAGGATACACGAGAGCAGACTACGCGGAAGTGTTTTCACTACTGCGTATAAAAGCCCCGCCCCCACCTTCACAGCTGGTCGATTTCAACACAGGAAAACGGAGAACTGGAAGAATGAGTGGAAAAGCGTCACATAAATGTATAAGTGCTCACAGCTCCGTGGGAATTATTATGTGCAATTCATTTCTTAAGGTTAGGCTAACAATTTAAGTCATGTTTAATGATCTTGAACGTCACTAAAACATAGCTATTAAGAAAGCTATTTCATAAATGGCTAGATCTTGATAAATAACAATTTTTGTTTTTGTTTTGTGTTAAGATATTCAGGAGTTAAATTATTTAAAATGCACAGTCCTGAATGTGGGTTTGTGGTGAATGTGGGGATCTACAGGACACACATGTTCAGAGTAAAGGCTTTCACATTATTATAATTATAATTTTATTGAAATGTACATTTTACACCAAAACGGAACACAAAAGCAGGACCAACCATCATACATTGAATTCCTTGACTAACAAGAGAAAGATTCATTCATTTAAATACATATTTAACAACAAATGGGCCGGTTCTAAAGGGTTATTCAGTTAAACCCGATGAGAGGGGATACAGCTGTGCACATGTCAGCATTAACAGACGTCGTTTAAGAGTGACATTTGAGTGAACGAGGACATCCCAATTAATACCTGAGGACTCCTCTGTCCTCGCGTCACCTCCTCGTGTCTCTCGCTCGCATCTTACGGAGGCGGAGCTAAGACGCAAGGAAGGGACGCGAGTGAGGGAAAGGAGGAGTCGAGGAGGGGTATTGAGATGAGGCTATTGTATCTGCACAAACAACATATCACATGAAAGCTGAGATTCCACAGATTCCATTGGTATAAGTCTCATCACTGTACGACCAAAACTCACTGAACTAGCAGCCAGGAAAGAGCAAGAAAACAACTTCACTTTACGTAGCCATGATGATAATTATGTCTTACCTTTGCTCTTTTGTGATCAAAAATTGTGTTCAAGGGCATAAAAACGGTTAATCCAATGTCTCTGTGTAACTTTAAAATGATTACTGATAATCCATCATTACAATTATAAATATTAAACGCAATAAACGGATTATAATGGTTAGCCGACTGGAGCTTCCGGTTTAGGAGGTGCGCACGCAGCGTCTCGTTTTAACTGAATAACGGTCATGTTTACATGGATTTATGAACTGCCCCTAATTACCGCTCCCCTTCCAGAGACACACAGTCAAACACTCATACCTGCTTGGTATGACATTGAAAAAGTTACATTAAATAATAAATACAAATAAATTACAATAAAATGACTGTTTAATCTTCACATCTTGTAATCATGTCTATAATTTTGAGCACCAAATTATTGAAAAGTATCGATAAGAGTATAGAAAAATACTGGTATCGATAAAATCCTAACGATACCCATCCCTACCAAGAGTCAGCCAACTTCAACAGGAGAGTGCCCTCCCCAGCGGTATATACTCCGCCAGCAGAGCTGCCTCCTCACCGTCAGCAGATTTCCAGCCAGGTGGCCTAGGAACCCACCTCCGGCATCAGTGTGGAGATCCCAGGAGTGTGGCTATGTAGAGCAGACAAACCAGCAGTACAACTTAGAACAACAGCAACAGCAGCAGTACCATACCCTCCAGCCAGCCAGCACTTCTACTCAGGGCTACGTTCCTTCTTCTCGCCAGGCTGCATTCTTCCAACTTCCTTCTCAGCCTCCTCAGCAGCAAATCAGAGGTCCTTGGCAGCTAACACCCCAGCAGCCAGTCCAGGGTCGTCCTCCGCCTCCTCTTCCAGCTCAGCAGTCCCAGCACAATGTGACCCAGGACAGCCTCCGCCAATATCTAAACCTAGACAGTGACAGTGTAAATATCAACAAAGACATCGATCTCTCAGCTTTAGTGCCACATGACAACAATAATAACAAAAGCCAGTAACCAGAAATTCAGAGACAGTTCCAGAAAAATTATCTGAGACAGTTCCAGGAAAAATAAAAAAATTAAATCACACATGAGCTTGAGATTGTGTATAATAAAAATTGTCACTGATATTTTCAGACTTTGTTCTTTTTTTGGTCCTTTATCCTTACTTTACAAGTTATTTTATTTTTTAGTTTAGTTTATTTATTTTCTATGTTAAAGTACTATGGGACTTTACATTTTGGAAACTTGAGATTTTTAAACTATCTAAATGTTGGGCCTTTATTTTATTAATAAGTGGAAAAAAGTATTTTCAATCAAAATTTCAAAAACAAAATGTATTACTCCATACACATTTTGCTTTAAGTTACAATGCAATATGTGAAAAATAATTTGTTCATCACAATGTCAGTGTCTCTGTATTCATTTTACTGTCACTGCTTTGTGGGAATAATTACAGGATCATCTTGTCCTGCCATGGCACCAAACCAGCCTTTGAGGTAAAGTAGTGGCCCAGGTATCTTCTAATATGCCTCCCCTCCTGGGTTCCAGTGTTCCTTGCCCTCTCATGGTAAACATCCAGAAGTACTTTGTAATTTCTCCATGCCCCTGGGATGACATTCAGGTTCTGGTCCTCCAAGTCCATCTTGTTGTTGTGGGTGGCTGGATATCTCAGTCTAATGATGAGATTGTGAAGGATCACACAAGTTGTGATGATTTTTCTGCATGTCCCTGGCCTCTGGTTCATGGTCCTCAGCAAAACTCGGAACTTGTGTGCCAGAATACCAAAGGCATTCTCCACTACACGCCTGGCTCTGGAGAGTCTGTAGTTAAATATTCTGTCATGGTGCTCCATGTTTCTGATGGGAAACGGGTTCATCAGGCGCTTGTTGTATGGGACAGGAACGTCATCACCAGGTAGAGACTTCTCTTCAGGGAGATTGAATATGTTGTTTGGACTCTCCAGGCCTTCCTTCAGTTCTGACCCATTGTAGATACTGGCATTGTTGCTGGAACCATCAGAGCCAACATCAATCCAGAGAAACTTGTAGTCTGCGTTGACCAGGGCCATGAGGACAATGGAGAAGAAGCCCTTGTAGTTTCTGTACACAGAGCCAGTATTCCAAGGACAGGTGACTGCCACATGCTTGCCATCCAGAGCACCACAGCAGTGGAAATTGCCATCTCTTCTCAAACTGCTCAGCAATGGCGGTCCACTCTTCAGTTGTAGTAGGCAGAGATGGGGTTGTTACTAAAAAAAAGTAATATATTACATATTACATATTACTTTAAAAAAAAGTAATATATTACACTACTTCGTTACTCTCTACATAAAGTAACTCGTTACTTTACTCGCAGGGCCGGCCAGCCCCTCCCTGCAGGCAGATCACGCAGACTGCTAAAGTTTCAAATGTTCTCTTTAGTTCAGTTTCCATTGTCGCATAAGACTGATCCAGATAGCTCTGACCATGGCTGTCCTCTGTCTCCTGCTATCTGTATTTTGCGCAGTATATCTCTGAACGATGCGATGGTGATTCCACTGTGCAAATGGGCAACATTACCTCTACTATGAAGGATGCTACAAGCCTGTCCATCTCTGCTTTGGTTACCGGTCCTCCAAATTCTTGCGGCGGCGCACTCACAACATCCTCACTCTGGGTTCGGGGGTCCTTAGCTATTAGCTTCACCTTAGCATGTGTTCTTTGCAGGTGTTTGTTGAGGTTTGACGTGGTGTTTACAGCAGTGGATAACAGCTTCTGGCCTGGACACAGTTTGCACCTCACCGTCACATTCCTGTCTATTCTTCGGACGAACTCAAAATAATGGGCATACCTCCACCCCTCGAAAGTTATCGCTGACTCAGCCATGTTTATGCAGCACTGCACGCGGAGATGTGGACGTGCAAGTCGCGCAGATTACGTACATATAAACCTGCGGCGGAAAGCCCTCTTGTCTGTCAGTGTGATTATGACTGATTTTATAAAAGTAACGAAGTAACGCGTGTCGGGGCAATGTTAGTAACTGTAGTGTGATTACTGAATTATAAAAGTAACGCGTTACACTACTCCGTTACCGACAAAAGTAATATTATTACAGTAACGCGTTACTTTGTAACGCGTTACTGTAATAATATTACATTTGTCGGTAACGGAGTAGTTACTTTGTAACGCGTTACACCCAACTCTGGTAGTAGGATACTGGATCACCTCAGCAGCAAACTCGGCTTTGATGGCATCGCAGACTTCATTAATGATGAGGGAGATGGTGTTTGGAGCAACTCTGAAGTTGTAGGACAGGCTTGGATAATTGTCACCGCAGGCCAGGTGTCGTAGAGTGATGGACAGCTTGAGACCATGAGGGAGAGACTTTCTGTATGTGTCCTTCTTCTCTATTCTGCCTTCTACCCTTCGCAGGACCTCATCGTAGAGGCCTCTGGGAGGTCTTGTGTAGTTGTAGAAGGCCTTCTCGTCTTCTGTCTTCAGCTCATTTAGTAGAGTGCTATAGTGGCCATAGCGTTCTCTTCTTTTGTCAGCCATTTCCTGACCCACATAGACCTCGGTTTCCTCCTTCGCCTCGGTTTGCCCTGGAAAATAAAAAGCAAAACAAGATAAGTACATTGTCGAATGCTAGAAAGGCAAATGTGACCCGCTCTATCGAAATCAGTCGGAAGTCGCAACGGCTCATTTCAAAATAAACGTGTATTTGTGTAAAAAAAATAGTTTTTCGGGGGTTCGGGGTTTTTTGTTTGATTTTAAATAAATTCCAAAATCAAACGATAAATACAATTTTGAAGCTTGTAAAGGGAAGAAGACAGCCACCTCTCACTCGCACTGTGCTGTTCTGCAGCCCCTCTCACCCTAGCTCCCGCTGATATTATGAATGTAAGGCGTATAGTAAGATAACACGACAGGGTCCATTACAGTTTATTTTCATCTGATTTCAAGTAAACAAAGTCTTGGCTTTCAGAATATTAAACTTGTTTCGGCAA